CGGCAGCAGCAGTAGCGCCGGGCCGGCAGCACACCGATCGATCGATCGGCGCCAGGGAAATGGAGAGCGGAAGTGAGGATCACTCCGACGGGGGAGCCCCGTGCTCGGCCGCGGCGGCGGCGCTCAAGAAGGGACCGTGGACGTCGGCCGAGGACTCGATTCTCGTCGCCTACGTCCAGAAGCACGGCGAGGGGAACTGGAACAACGTCCAGAAGCAGTCGGGGCTGTATCGATGCGGCAAGAGCTGCCGGCTGCGCTGGGCGAATCACCTCCGGCCCAATCTCAAGAAAGGCGCCTTCACGCCCGAGGAGGAGCGGCTCATCATCGAGCTCCACGCCAAGCTCGGCAACAAATGGGCTCGCATGGCCACTCAGGTGAGCGATCTTCCACAATCCCTGGCTTCTTGATCGATCGCTTCCTCGCTCGCCAAGAAATCTTTCTTGAAATACCGATGCTCATGGCGTGTTCTTTGTCCGAGGAATTCCTGGCTCTGTGGAGTATTTCTTTCTCTTCATTACCTTGCTTGCGTTCGCTGAGATCTTCTCGGAGTGTAAATTTCTAGCTGCGATGTTCTTGTTCTTCTTCGTGCCTTCCATCCTCGAGCTCTATCTTCTCCAGTTTTGCTTGGAAAAATAAGAGTTTTTTCTTGTCTTAATTTTTTGTTCTTGGCTACTTCCAGTTGCCAGGACGCACTGACAACGAGATCAAGAATTACTGGAACACCCGGATCAAGCGTCGGCAGCGAGCGGGGCTCCCGGTCTATCCTCCAGACATCCAAGCTGCCATCAACAGCTCCAACTCATCGACCAACCACACTAACGCTTCCAACACCGTTCCAAGCTCGTTCTATGGAGGATTCAACCTCTTGGGAAGCAAACTCGTGGAGAATTCCGACAAGCCAAGGTCCGAATTCCATGGCCTCACCTTGCAAGCTTTGCAGCGGCAAGGAATGGGCTCGAGCCATCCTCGAGCTCTCACCGCGGCACTCATCGCGGCAGCAGCAGCATCCTCGTCAAGCTCCGCCGCCACCGAGCATTGCGAAGCACTGGGCTGGTCGAGTGCACACCCGGGATTCGAGCACCACAGCCTTCCACACCATCTCAGCGGCAGCTCGCTCTTCTTGCAACAAGATCACGAGGGGGAAGTTTATCACGTTGGCAGCAGCGCTGGACGCCAGCACCATGGCTTCTACCTCACCGGAACCTCGGCCTCCAACGCCGCCAACGAGATGGATCACGGCGGCGGAGGAGCTGCTCATGGTCACGATGGGTCTTCTTTTATCAACACCATCAATACTTCGTGCTCCAGGCCTCTTCCTCTGGTGATGCCAGTGGTGGATCACCATGACCAAGGCCTGAAGCTGGAGCTCCCTTCAAGCCAATTGTCCACGGAGTCGGCGGACTCGGCCATCACGACGCCTGGCTCTGTGATCAATAGCAGTCCAAATCGTTTCAAAGTCAGTACCTCACAGCAGCAGCAGCAGCATCATGGCTGCGAGAGCTTGAGCTTAAGTTTGCTGGAGGCATACAACAAGCTCAAGGCCGAGCAAAGCGGCGAGCCTCCGCAGCAGCAGCAGCAGCCATTTCCAACACAGGCGATGCATCACTTCTTCAACCTCCAGCAACAAATGCGTAAGTTTGTGGAGCTTTGGCTTTACTTGCTTCTATCTGAGCTAACAAATGCTTGTGGCCTCCTTCAGAGAATGCTGTGAAGCCACACGACGACGCAACTCCGCAGCACGGCTTGCCGTCCCAGCAGCACACTCATTACACTCCTGGCCACGGGGAAGCAATTTCCACTCTGATTCAAGAGTATGGCCGTGCCGATGATCACCGCGCTGCAGCCAGTGATGGTGGAGCTGCCGCTGCCGGTCTCGTAAGCGTTGATGCGGCCACCGCCAGCGCCGAGTGGTACCAACTTGGGCCGTCGCCTCCTCATCAAGCAGACATGTACAACATGGACGAGCAGGCAGCAATTGCAGCAGTCAGCAGTCTCCAGCAGCACAACAGCTTGCAAGGCGATCATTCAAGTGGCCCCGGGAAGAGCAACGACAACAGCAGCAGCGGCAGCTTCATGGATCCGGGAACAGGAGTCTACCATCACATCGCTCCATCGGATTTCCTGGCGAGTTTTACGGGGCAGCAGCAGCAGCCGGAGCAGCAGGAGAGTCAAGTCTCTCATCTTCACCGTCACGACGGCCACCATCAACAGCATCAGCATCAGCATCACCAGGAGGTTCATGGCTCGTTTACCGAGACCAGTCATGAAGTTCCAGCATCTTGGGAACTGAGTTCGTGCTGCTCGTGGAACAACATGCCGGGTGCCTGCCAAATCGGCGACTATGGCCAGACTCTCGGGGATTGTCGCTCGGTGAATTGTCTCCCGGAACAGATCCACGATCCGTGTGCTATCTACTGAGCCCAGCCGACCTACCAACAGGAAAAAAAAAAGAAAAAAAGAAAGCAACTACAAAGAACAACAGGATTAAAAACCAGGATTCCAGCAGCAGCGGCAGCAGCAGTCATGTTTTCCGGGATCCTCGCACTTTGTTTCGAGATGATGCCTTCCTCCTCTCCAAGGTTTGTGGATCTCACTTTTGTTGGCGCAAAGTTTCTAACGCACAAACTTTTCGATTCCTCCTTCCAGGAACGTCGTCGTCGTCATCGTCGCAAAGTGTGCCAGGAATTCTCCAAAGCCTCGGGGTGAAAGGATTTACGTGACACACTGCTACTACATGTAAGTTTTTCCATAGCTTCATACACAGTGCTGGGAGGAAGCAAAAAAGATTCCATGGCGAAGATTTAGCTCGAGGGAGGCTTCGCTAAAAACTTTTCTTTTCGCGGGATCTCAGGCAAGTCTCGATCGCCATCTTTCTACTTTCTCTCATCACATAATTGACGCGAAGAACACCACCGTTTTCTCTTCTCTCTCTCTCTCTCCTCTCTTTCCTTGCGTGACAGTGTTTTGCGGTCGATCGATCGACTGACTTATAATATGTACTCGAATTCGTGAATGGAAGATTTGGTTCTTACAAAAAGCTTATATCTCATCGTTTTGATTGTTCTAGCTCTTACACACAGTGCTCGGCAAGAAACGCGTGAGCTCTTCTCCTTTTGCTAAGTGCTGTCCCTCGGATCGTAAACAAATGAGAAGATCCAATGGCTGATCCAACCGGCCACCATGCACGCTCGACGTGCTCTTCACCTCCATCGCTACTGCGTCGCGAGAAAAACTCTAGAAAAAAACTCTTCTTTTTTCTCGCGCGCGCGCTTTAATGACCCTTGGTCGATCGTTCGGGAGCTGCTGCTGCTAGCTAGCTAGCGTTGAATCGCGTCTTTAAACTTTTAGAGTCCATAAGTTTTGTGTTCGTTGGGGGGCAAGGGACTTTACTTTCACCATAACGGTAAAAGTTTGAAGAGTATATCTCCTGTATCAGTATCGTATCCGCTCGTAAGAAATATATAGCCATCCCAGGAAAGCTCTCGATTCTCGACGATCGGATAGCCTACTTGCATTCAACCGGCGGTTAGTCCTCGAAGAAGAAAAAGAATGAAAGAGAGAATTCCTTCCAACCACGAAGAAAGGAGAAAAGAGAGAACCTCTGGCGAAGAACTCGAGGAGCTTGATCGAATTTTCGTCTTACCTACATGCGTTGTGTGAGAGTGTATGTTCACGATAAGGTACAAAAGTCGAAAGAAAAATGGTACCTGTATAGTGCGGTGGACTTCGTCGCTGCCCGCTAAACTCGCAAGAACTTCCAAGAACAACAAGACAAAGCTCGAGCGAGCTACTCTCTGGCTGCTTCCGCGCGGATTAATTACTATACACTGCACCGCACAAGAAAAGTTAGCAGACAAAAGAACCAAAATCTTAATTTCTTTCTTGCCTCGATCGCAAGTCCGTGGCCAAGCAAAACTCTCGACTCACGATGCCGCTGCTGGAAACGTCGTTGCCGCTGATTCCCTTTCCTGGATTTCCCGGGCCATCTTTGCTCGACACCACTGCTTGTAGTCAGCGAGGAGCCCGTCGAGCAACGCAAACTCCATGGCGCCAAGTATTCGGTCCAGTATCCCGTCGCCTACAGGAAGAACGATGGCCTCGGGCATGAGCGAGAAAGGCAACGGCAAGTCACAGTCGAGCCCCAGCGAAACGGAGCCGTGGAAGCGACCGGCAGCATTGCTCGCGTTGCTTGCGATGGACGACTGCGCACCAAGATCACCCCCGAGCGAAAACTGTAGATTTATGTCGTCGTTCATGCCGGGTGGCAGTCCGATGAATTCGAGCACCAGCTTGTCCGATTCCAGCACCAAAGTCTTGGTTGATTCCCGGTAGAACACCCTGCGAGAAACGCAAACGTAAAAAAGATGGCGAAGTTAGCTCTTCTACAGGAAAGACAAGTCGAAACAAAACAAAGTTCTCTAGGATGGATCACGAAGAGCTGTCCAAACTCCCTCTACGTCATCGAGAAGATCATAGATCTCTAGCTGGAAACACTGCGAGCTCTTCTAGATCGACACTCAAGTAAGTTTCCTTTGTCACTCACAGTTTCCTTGTCACTTATCTAGCTCGGAGAAACAAAGGGAAACATTCCAAGCGAGCTAGAAGAGCTACAAGGCTCTCTCAAAGGTAGCGTCCGGGAAATCTTACCTGAGGTAGCAGACTGGTGTTGCCGACACGCTAAAGAAAGTGACGGGCCGGAGTCGCGAGCGCCAGGTGCTGTTGCCCACAAATTCAATCCTCGAGCTGTCCGGGAACGCCACTCGGACGATGCGATCCACCTCCTTGACGTAATCCTGCGCTGGGAATCCAAGCCCCCGATAGGGAATGCTCACCGCTCTCTTCGCTCTAAATCCCACCATTTGACACCGCGCATTTCCAATCTGACTCCCCGCTCTAGCCCTTACTGCAACCATCGGCATCGAGAGATCCCCCATTCGCGCGGGAGGCGCCGAGAAGGCCGAGCAAGAAGCCACATTCGCCATGGCCACGATAAACCCTAAGAACAGAGAAGTGACACGTACTAAGGGGTTTTACAAAGTGGTGTCCGCGTTGGCAAGAAAAAATCTGCCACGCAAGCACACACCAATAAAGTGATGTCCGCGTGGTTATAGACGTGGCGAGCCGTACGAGCCACGTCGGCGGATCATAGTCTCACGATACGGGGAAGTCGCCCGTGAGCTTGATGTGATCCAAAGTTCTGGGAAGTCCAAACTGGACGACGGCGCTCTGCCCGATCCGGAAGCCATCGCCGTAGGCCGGGGAAGGGTCCATTGCGATCTGGTGCATCACAAACTCGCGCAGCTTGCTCGTGTCGAATTGGTGTGGCGCCGGCTTGGCAGCGCCGTGAGAGGAGCTGCTCGACGATCCAATCTGCGACTCCAGCCAAGTGTGCGCCATCACCTGGCAAATGCCTTCTTCCACCACCGGATTCAAATGGCTCGGGTATCCTGGAACGTTTCCACAAGCTTTGAGTGAGTTTCCTAAACTTTGAGCTTGCGAAGAACTTTACCGTTCAGTCGGAGCCATGCGTGCATTAGTTCGTGCGCGAGAATGGATCCTGTCAGCAATCTAATTGTCGATCGGAGGAAAGTTTTAGACATCGATATGGTTTGTGTAGCAAAAACAATATTGTTTTTGCTTACCTGGGGAGCCCATACAGCACCAGAATGGCAGTCACCTCACAGTTTCTTCTGAGCTTCATCGACTCCGTTCTCATCTCTCCAAAAAACCCCCGGCTCCTCGGTCTTCTAAACACCTGCAAGCATTTCATGAGTCTAGCTCTAGCAAAACTTCCACTTACAGAGGTAACAGTTTGCTCTTCGGATAGAGTCAATCCGCGAGTCTCGGTGAGGTGATGTCCCTACAACAAAGCAAATTTTCTTAGCAAAAGGAGAGAAAGAACTAAAGGAAAGGAAAGAAAGCCGAGAATCTACTAACATTACTTTCGTGTGCACGAGCCTCATTGAGTGCTTGCCTTTCAACAAGAAGCATCGGTATCTGTTGAGTTATCTTCATGTTCATGCCCTCGTAGAAGTTGATAATCTCCTGGTACAGAGGCTGCCCTTCGTTTGTGTCCATGACGGCAGAATCCATGCATTCCAAACACAGCTTTCGACCATCGTCTAGAACTACGTACTTGGAGTTTTTCGTCTTCAGGAAAACATCGCAAAGTAAGAACAACGCAGATCGATTCATGTTTGCTTACCTCCAAACGCTCGCAGCTACAACATCGGGGCGTGTTGTCATCTTCATGTGAAGGACAGTATCGTTGCCCCCAAAAAGGATGAACTCTATACTCTATCAGGCCAGAATAATTTGGCGGTATCTGAAGAACAAAAACCAACATAAATGCACGAACAAGATACTTTGTCGAGACGCCCTTACAAATAAGTTGCAGACATCACACCGAGGATGAAACAGTTCCTTGTAGCAATCTTTGTGATAAGGATCGTTTCCAGACACCGAGAACTGCATAAAAGATCACCCGCTTATAGAATCCGAGAAACCAACAATGCAAAACTGCGACCATACCTCAGAACCCGAAATTGGTTTATTGCACGACGTGCATCTAAAGCATTCCGGATGCCACAAACCTCCCATGCAGCTTAGAAAACGTCCAGGTCCGATGGTCTTTTTACATCGTGCGCACACGTGAGCTCCAGAAAACCTGCGAGGCATTTAGACGAAGAGACTCTCGCAACGATTTGTAACACAGAAAGCTACCTGCGTGTTCGTCCATCGCCACCGAATGGGAAGCCAGAAGAGAAGCCAGAGGAGAAGCCAGAGGGGCCTTCACTGATGAAACTTTCCTGCAAAGCTCTCGCCAATGCCTCGTCGTTGTCTGTGGCGCCTTTGTCTCTTGCCGCAGGCTTGTCGTCTGGAAAGGCAAAAACCTCGTCACCAGTGAAACCAAAAACTTCAATCGAAACATTTACCGTAGTGATCGCTGAGTGACAAAGCTATGGCTCGATCCAGCTCCTCGTCCGCCTATAACACGCTTACTTTGTCTAGAATTCTTGTTTCTTACACGAAGGAAAGAAGCACAAGTACCTCGGAGGACGAATTATGGGAGATTTCATGAACCTTCTGGTGCAAAGGCTTGAAAATCTTATCAAACCACTTCATTGTGGAGAGCTTGTCCCAAAATCTAAAACCCTGGCAATCCATGAACAGTCCGCCACATTTAGATCACAGTGGCGAACAGGGAAACCTCCAATCTCACCTCGATATGGCGAAAGCCTAGGAGCGATCGATCGATGAGCGCTGGAATGAGAATCCTCGCGATCGGCTGCTGGAAATCTGGAGCTCCCGCGCCGCGACGCGATCAGAGACCCGACTAGGCATTCCTAATGCGCTTCGCCTTCCGAGGCATTTCCTCGCTACTACGACCTACAAACAAAATAAAAAGATCTAAGAAAGAAAATTTAACTTCAGATGGAATGGACGCATCGCAGCCGTTCGATCTATTCATCGGTCGCGACGGCCCAGATCACGAGCTTACTAAGAATATCAAGGTATATTCTGATTTAAATCTTAAATTTGTTTTTCATTAAAGTTTATTCGCTAATACAATAAGCTGTATTTAAATTTTTAGTGTAAATAATTGTTTTGATTTGTTTATTTATTTTCTTACTAAAAGATGTTAGCTTTGAAATTAATCTTTACTCTTGCTTACCTTTGATGAAATCCTAGGCATAACTCTAATGTATTAACGAATAGCTAGAGATTGATCATCAAATCAAAATTAAAGAATTAATGAACTAAATCATACCTTTGTAAGGATAAAAACGTTTTTCCACTTAAATTTTATGACATTGAATTTAAAGGTTGGAGCTCTGGATGTAAAGTGTGCATTGCAATCTATGCATAGCAGAGTCACTCTTACTTGCCACTTTGTGAAGCATATTTTATGTCTTGAATTGATTGTAGGTGATGATTCATAAGTACTAGAAGTTGAAGAGTTCTTACCTTTCTCATGGCACAATATTCCCAAACAAGCTATTTAAGAAGTTGAAGGTGTGAGGTAATAGGATGAATCCTAGTAACAGTGGCATTAGCAGCAATGCAATAATGATGATGAGAAAGGAGTTCAGAAATGTGTCCTACTGCTTTATCCTTAGCATAGTCCTGGTCACCACCATCCAAAATCCAAGCTCTTCTAGATCTTAGCCAGAAACATCAGAATTGATCAAGTGTGTTCTAGATACTTGAATATACTTGGATGTGTTTACATTGTTTGGCCATCATAATTAAAGCTATGGGTGTATTGATATGTGTCATGCCCCATTCTAATATTATAATGCACACAATTATATTTTGATTGCTTTTATAGCAATCAAAATGTAATTATGTTCATTATGATATTGTGTGCAATTGAAAACAAAAAAAGTATTCTTACATGAGTAAAAAAAAGATATACCCACAGTTTGCTTTTAATATTGTATTCATCAAGGTGTTAAAATTTTGAGATATGATATTGATTGAAATGTTATTCTTATTTATATTTCATTCTCATGGAGGGAAAGATACTGAAGATGTTCCACTAGCAAAGCCAACACCTTCAAGAGTAGCTGGAGCTTTGCTCCCAAAAACACCAATGTTAGGGCCACTAGCACCACCACCCAAGCCTTTTTACCAGCTTCAATTCCCAGAACTCCCTCCCCAACAGCACTGGATGGTACCTATGACACTTCCTCAATATGGACCAGCTCATGCATATTACTTGCCAATGTTACTATCTCATCTTGGGTTCATGCACAGCCAGAACATGTACTTGGGCCCCCATATGATCAACCAAACTCTCAGTCAACAAGCCACACTCCAGCCCATTCAAAAAGTGTAAAGCATGCCTTGCAAAAGAAAGACAAAGACAAAAGGTGTAGTATCAACAGAAGACTCCTTCCAGATTATCAATTAATACAATCAGATGGGCTAATAGAAGTGGAATCCTCTCAAGATACCATAATCTAGCAGCATCTAAAGGAGCTTGGCTAGGCTCATCTACATCCAACTCAGGCCTCACAAGCAACTCTAAACAGTGTTAGACTCTCAGCAAGGAGAAAACAACAGCCCACCAGACTCTAAGGCCATCTCAAATGCCAAACTTCAACACTATGGGCCGAGGATAGATTTCTGTTCATAATGTTATTTAGTTAACAGTTGAAAGTTGGATTGAAATTGATTACATATGTACCCCTCATTCTGGTAATTTTTCTATTTCTAACCATTGTGCAGTATGCCCAGCCACACACAATCCATCTCGGCTGTTGGAATCTACAAGGCCTGAAAGCCCAAAGTACTCATGAGCTGGCCGAGATGGACAGGTATGATGTTGTAGCATTTGGTGGAACTTGGGAGCATGAGGAGTCTCACCTGCCACAGCTGCCAAAGTTTGCTCTCTTCTTGGCCTAGAAGCCATTACAACCCAGACAACACACAGGATCTAGAGGCATTGCAGTCTATGCACAGCTTCTGGAAATAGATCCAGATTGCCACTACATAGCATTGGCTTTAGCCCAAAAGGATGTCGGATCTTATATTATTTTCCTCCCAGTTGGATCCGTCAGCAGCCAAAGCCTTATGCCCCTCTCACGACCAAGCTTCCTGACTGGAGACATAACGCCAAGGTGGTGATCCTCAGGGATATGAATGCCTGCACTGGGAGTTCACAAGTTACACTTTGAGACGACGAGGGAAACCTTGTGCCACACTTCACATACCAGGATGAGATGGAGGAAAACAACTCATTGAGGCATGCTTTACACACGACTTGATTATCCTCAATGGTACACTACCATGTGGGATGGTATACATGTCAGATGAGTTGAGGGAATAGTACCACTGATTACACACTCATAGACCACACCTTGGTACCTGAGGTGATAGACTTTCATCTCCAATACATGCCTGACCTGAAGACAGTGGATCATTGCCCACTGGGAGTATCCTTGAAGATACTGCCTATCACAACTGCTCCAGGAGAATTCCCCACCTCCATCACATACAAATTGGTGGATAATTGCCGAATGTTGTATGTAGAATGGGTACAAGATCTATAGAAGGCCTCTCTATCACTGAGAAGAGCATGCAGAAGTCTTGGTTAAGGTCCTTACAATAGTGGCTCAATTCACCCTTCCACAACACTCCACTCAATAACACCCTTGAAGAATGCCAAAAATGGCATGCATTAAAGAAGTAAAAAGCCATACATGAAGCACTTGGTGCACCATATCTTCTGCAAGCTTAGGAAACGAGCTTTTCTAGCCAGGAAGAATGCAAACAATAACAACTCTAAACAGCATCAGCCATTGCCTAATAACTTTTCCAAAAGCCTGCCAAAAAGATCCTGCTGATGGACATGGACATCTAGATAGCATACCTTCGCTAGCTCTACAGTTCTACTGCTCCATCAATTGTCCATGAATGGGACAGAGGCAACCTTGATTTCACTATTGAAGAGCTGGCCTGAAATACACAAAAGCCCAGATGTTCATGGCCTAACAGTCAAGCTTCTCCAAGCATGTGATGAAGGCTTTCTAGCACAGAGTATCTTTGATGACATCCTTTGCAACGGATTTCCGAAACAAGGGACTGTGAATCTCATAGTGCCTATACATAAGACTGGAGACGAGTTGCTTCCCATGAACTACTGTACTTCTTACACATTGATCTCATGGGACAGTGTCCTCCTTGATTATCTTCTCTAACTCCATTGCTTTTGTCTAAAAAAGAATATAGGCTTATGGTACGGAAAGCCAAAAATAGATCTCTACTTTTTTAAAATGGGAATTCTGTCGTGGCATTGTGACGTGGCGGATTTGCCTACGTGGCATGCCGCATTCTTTTGTTTTAGGGCTTTTGGCCCAAAAACCCTAGGGCCTGTAAGCGATGGATTTCTCTTCGCCCTCTTCCTCCTCGAATGACGCGATGATGGATCAGCTCAAGAACCAGCTCGCGCAGGCCTACGCGCAGGAGTTCTTCGGGGTACGCTCTCTCCCACTCTCTTGCTCCTCCCCGTTTGATAGATTTTTGTGTCTAAATCTCTAGACCGTGCGCGAGAAATGCTTTGCGAAATGTGTCACCAAGCCCAGCAGCAGCCTGAGTGGATCCGAGAGCAGCTGCATTTCAAAGTGCGTGGATCGCTACATCGAAGCCACCGGGATTGTGAGCAGGGCCCTCTTTAACGCCGCCAAGTGAGTGAGTGAGTCTTATACTCGCTCTTGTTCTCTCTCTCTCTCGATCCAATCCATTTTTCCTTTCTTCTCTTTGAGAATCCAGACTAAAAATCTCTCTTTTCTACTTTGTGATGCACTGGTTTCGAGACGAGCTCTTTAGACATTTCCAACAAGTATAAGAATGATCACACAAACTCTTGGTACGCGAGTGTTCTAAAAATCTCTGTTTTGGTTCTTTCAACTCGCTGGTGGAGCAGCGGTGGTAGCGGTCTTGTTTCCAGTGACATGCTGCGCTACCCAGCCGAGGCCATCGAACAATCCCTCGCCTGTCAAGGCACAGCAGGCCTGGATGTGCCAGTCGTGGTTCTTGATGGTGTGCAGGGAGAGAGCGTCGGTGATCTCCGCGGGAGCCATGGCGTCCTTGAGGTCCTGCTTGTTGGCGAAGACGAGCACCACCGCCTGCTGCAAGTCCTCGTGCTGGAGCAGCCGGAAGAGCTCGTCTTTGATCACGGCGATTCTCGCGCGGTCCGTGCTGTCCACCACCAAGATCACTGCGTGGGCTCCTCGGTAGTACGTGACCCACGACGCTCGCAAGCGCTCCTGGCCTCCCAAGTCCCACACCTGTGAGAAAAGCAAAGAAAAGTTTCGGTCAATCCATCAGAACGAGAGAAAAGTTGGAAACCGCAAGAACAGAAATTAGTGGAACGAAGATCGTATCAAAAGAAATAGGAAATCCAAGCAAAGCTGATTCCTTGATTCGAGAAAACTTTCTAGGAAGAAAGGAGTGCACACAAAACTTCCAGAGAAAATCCATCTCCAAGTTTAGATCGATCCATTAGAATGAAAGAAGGAAAGAAACCGCAGGAACAGAAGTTAGCCAAGCAAAGCTAGATCGTATCAAAAGAAATCGAAAAGAGGAAATCCAAGCAAAGATGATTCCTTGTTTTGCGAAAACTTTTTAGAAAGGAAACACCAGAGAAGCAAGAAGAAAATCCATCTCCAAGCATGCAAAGATCAGAGAGTGATGGAAGTCAATCGAAACGAAGAGAAAAAGAGGAGAATTCAGGAGAGTGATGGAAGTCAATCCAAACGAAGAAAAAAAGAGAATTCTACACAAAGTACCTCGAATCGGATGTTCTTGTAGACAATCTCCTCGACATTGCTGCCGACGGTGGGCTGCGTCACTACCACTTCGCCGAGATGGAGCTTGTAGAGCGTCGTTGTCTTGCCCGCGTTGTCCAACCCCACCACCACGATCTTATACTCCTTGGCCGGGAACACCATAAACCACACTCTAGAGATCAAAGCGCCCATGGCCGCGCTCTATCCCTTCCCTTAGGTCAAATCAATCGAGTCGATCACGCCGTGCAGATCCAAGCGCCTTAGCCTCTGCTGCTGCCGCTGCTCCTAGAAATCGAGATCAATCGATCCTCGCGGTGAAAAATCCGGCCTAGAAAAGAACTCTCCACTAGAGAGTATTTAGGGCGGCTATAATGCGTATTTGTGTTCTCAAATTTTAGGGTTCTTGGAGGGCATCCATGGCGACGGAGGAAGCGACCGCGGCGACGAACTGTAAGTGTGATTTCTCGCTGGATTCTCGGTTCTATCGCTGCGCTACTCGATTTCCAGGCACATTCTTCAAGAAGCCTCCCAAGAACAGGAATCTGAGGAAGCGGCCACAGGAGGAAGAGGCGGCAGGCGATGGCGCCGGCAGCGGCAGCGACGAGGAGAAATCCGCGGTTGTCCACAAGCCAAAGGCGCCACGCAAGGGCGGATTCACGACCGGAGTAGCGCAGCGATCGGGCGCCGACGAGGCAGCGGCGGCTGGGGCGGGCAGCACGAGCAAGAACACATTCTTCTACGAGTCCTCCAAGGAGATCCAGGCCCAGGACAGCTACGCGACCGCGGCGCTAGAGACCGAGACCGAGTTCGACAAGGACGCGCGGGCGCTGCGCGAGAAGGTGCTCCAGGCGGCGGCCAAGCGGATCAAATCCTCCAGCGATCCCTTCGACGCCACCACCAACAAGGAGAAAGGCGAGGACAAAGGAGAGAAGAAACCAGCGATCTACAAGGGACTCAACGCTTACACCGATCACCGCGCTGGGTTTCGGCGAGAGAACAGCATCGCCTCCGAGAAAGCTGGAGGGGCTCACGGGCCTCTCCGCGCGGCCTCCAACGTGAGAATGTCGGTGAGGTTCGACTACCAGCCGGATGTTTGCAAGGATTACAAGGAGACTGGCTACTGCGGTTATGGCGATTCCTGCAAGTACTTGCACGACCGGGGGGACTATAAGTCGGGGTGGCAGCTCGAGCGGGACTGGGAGGAGGCACAGCGGGAAAAGAAGGAGAGGTTGATGAGGGGGATCAAGGAGATGGTGGAAGGCAAAGAGGAGGATGAGGAGGAGGACGACGAGCTGCCTTTCGCGTGCTTCATCTGCCGCGAGTCGTTCGTGAATCCGGTCGTGACGGCTTGCAAGCACTACTTCTGTGAAAGCTGTGCTCTCGAGGTGCGTTTTTGTTTTGTTCTTCCTTCTTCCTTTTGTCCGAGATCTCTGTTCTCTTTTCTTCCAAGTTTTAGATCTCTTTCTCTTCGATCTGGTACCTTTGTTATATCTTGTTCTCTTTTTCCGAGTTTTAGATCGAGAAGTCTCTTTCTCTTCGAGCTGGTTGATTCTTAATCACCTTCTTGGTTTGAACTTTTTTCTCTCTTCTTCCAAGTTTTAGATCGAAAAGTCCTGCTTTCTCTTCGAGCTGGTTGATTCAAAGTGTCAGTTCTTAAAGTTTTTTTCTCTTTCGAGCTAAAAGTTTTCCTTTTTTGCAGCACTACAAGAAGAACAAATCGTGTTTTGTGTGCAACAAGCCCACGAACGGGCTCTTCAACACAGCACACATCATTTTGAAGAAGCTAAGGAAGCCATAGCTGTGGTAAAGTCTTCCTTCTTCTTTGCGATAAATCTCTGTTTCTTCTTAGGGCTCTCTTCACTCCAACTAGTAGGGTTTATGGAGGAGGCATCGATCGTGTACCGCTGCAGGAAGTGCCGCCAAATTGTAGCCACCGACTCGAGCGTCCAGCGCCATGATCCAGGCTCCGGCGAGCAGGCCTTCTCGTGGAAGAAGCGATCCAACAACGACGAGGCCAAACCGCGCGAGTGCTCGTCGATCTTTGTGGAGCCAATGCAATGGATGAATGGAGGTTAGCTTATCCTTTTTTTTCTCCTCAAACCATGCGATCTGTCTACTTTGTTTAGTTCAAGATGGCAGTGTGGAAGGGAAGCTCTTGTGTAACGTCTGCCAGGCGAGGCTGGGGAGCTTTAACTGGTCGGGGCTACAGTGTAGCTGTGGAGCTTGGGTGAATCCAGCGTTCCAGCTCCACAAGAATCGTTTGGATGCTACTACACTCGTGGTAAGCGATAGAGAGAAATAAAAAAAGAACAAGAGGGGAGCTTACTTTTCTCTGAGAAGTTATCATCGGAGAAGCAAACCTTCTTCTCCGCCGGGCACCAATGAAGCCCAGCACTGTCGATATAATCCATTTTCAAATAGATAGGGGAAAGTCTGTCTCTCCCCTTTTATCAAGCGTATAGAACGTCCTCCCATGGATGCCGGTACAATGGCTGTTTCAATCTCTTTTGGTCGAATGTGTGCCTGCAAAGAATGTCAAAGTTTGAGAGCTGGAACAACTTCTAACAGTTGGAAGGAAGCTTACCCGATGAGACCGATGCTCCTGGCGAGAACAAAGAGGCCGTTCAAGTAGCCAATCTCCACAATGTCATCGATCTCTTGCTGGTTAAACATGGCGCAGCTGACTAGCAAGTCGAGGAAGAGCGAGCCAATGGCACCGTCCACGTTGAGCACCAGGTTGTTGGCTTTGGTCAGTGTGTACGTCTCTACTTGCACGGCATACTCCATGTATTTCACTGAGGGGAAGTGGAGACGAGCATACTTCTGGAGGAACTCGACTCTCTTGTCCCGGTTGTCACGGCTCTTTATCCTGAGAGACACGATAGTATGTGTAAGAACTCCAAATGACCCTATAGTTACCTGTGACCAATCCCTGGAACACGAATTCCTTTCTTTTTCATCGTCTCCACGAACTCGTGTGGGTTTAGTTGCTGCATGGGAAAGTAAAAAGGAAGGATCAAATTATTCCTTTGCGGGAGAATAGTGTGGCAGCTTACTCTATCGTACGCATCTTTGAAGTAGCGTGCTGCATCGTCAATCGCACCTCCAAATCTTGGTCCGATAGTAAGGAGACCTGCGACAGACAATTACTTCATGCAAGAAATATAGGGCCTTTACCGGATACAAGGCAAGAAACCAAGTCTTTCCCAGCTCGAGAAGTGACTATGGAGTTGTGTGCTCCAGAAACACATGGGCCGTGATCTGCGCACAGGATAATGCACATCTGCGTCGAGGAAACTTGGAGAACCACAAAATTTACTGAAAATGAATGCTTACCTCAATAAACTTGGTGGCATAGCGAGGAAGATTCTTTTTAAACCATAGCAAAGATATGACGTCTCCAACGCCAAACTCCTTTTCAATAATGTTGGAAATAGGGACGCCAGCGTATGTCGGTTCTTCACCTGCAGCAAAAGTAAACAGAATTACCGCCATATGGTTTGGAAAGTATAGCTTTGAAACCTCTATCATCACAAATGGTAGAAACAATGTGAGTGGGAGCACGAACTTTGCCGTTCTTCACAGCAATGTTAAGGTCTTCGGGAACAATGGGAGGAGTAACGTCGACCACAGGAATAATTACACCACTTGCAACCTGCATTTCTCCATAAGAATGCAAAACTTGAATGTTTTTTGAGCACTTACCAGCTTCTCAAAAGTGTCTTTAATGACGGCTTCCAAAGACTCGAAAGATGTTGGCACAATAGCACCAGCTTCCTTCAGAGCTTTGTTTTTTCCCTGTGCCGACTCCAAGTCTCCTCCACTTTTGGCACCCTGACAAAACAAACGAGCGTCTAAGACTTTGGCTTAATCATCATAAGATCCGCACTCACAGCATGACCAAACTGGACTTCAGACTTGAAGAGCTTCGCACAAGTTCCGCTGACCCACGCGACAACAGGCTTGTGAACTCTTCCTTGTTGAAGAGCCTCGACTAAAGAATACTCATCCGTTCCTCCAAGTTCTCCCAAAACCACAATCAATTTTATCTACAGGCAAAACAGTATAAACACGTCAAAACACACACAAACAAAAGATTTACTTGAGGTATGTTGTTAAATCGAAGGACGTGATCCGACAACGTAGATCCCGGAAAGACATCGCCTCCGATTGCAATTCCTAACGAGATAAATAAATCCAAGGTTCAGATCAATCAAGGACAACGCAAAAGACAAACCTTCGTAGAGCCCGTCAGTTGCACGAGCAAGAACGTTGTACATCTCGTTGGACATGCCTCCCTGAAAGGGCCCCAGGCATATCGTCAGTGAATAAAAACCAAGAACACTTACAGATTTGGAGACAAATCCCACGGACCCAGGGCGATAAAGCTTACAACTCACGATGTTATCGAGAGTACCAGCAGTATCTCCAATCTTGAAGGCACCAGCCTGCATACCACCTACAGTAGCAGGCCCAATGACTACCTATGAACAAGTGAAGAACAAATCTCGTAAGTTTATTCCAAGTCTCAAGAGTACCTTGTTATTTGCTCTGGCATACGCTATCAGCTTTTTGGCATCGCCTTCCGGGACTCCCTCGGCAATAATAGCGACGACTCGTATCGTTGGTTGCTTGAGAGCTTCCATTGACGAAGCAAAGGCACTGTAAAACACGTAAGACAAAGGTCAACCAATTAGCTTACATGGAATTCTCCTCGCGACGTCACAAACACGAAGGTCTTACCTCCTAAACGACGCGAAGTTAATAAATACGTCTGCTGTGGGATGTGCCTTACATCCAGCGACGACACTGTTGGATAGAAAGAGCCATTTAATAGATCGTCGCTACCAACTAGACCAGAGATCTCGAAACAAGCAAGAGATTTCGAGATATCGGGAAGGATATTCCACTCACCTCCCATAAACCGGCACGGCAATCTCTTCCTGCCCGAAGAAGAGCTTCTGGAATCCATCAGATCCGGGATTGACAATGCCGGCCACCGATGGGAGCTCCCGCGCTGCAATGCCGGCCATCCGGCGTTAGAATCTCCACAAAACGAGCCTCCCCTACCGCACAGGAAGTCGAAATCCAGCATCCGCTGGATGGGGCTTTGCTTGAAATTGTAGAAGAGCGCCTGCGTAGATCGCGAGAAGAGCTGCCCCGTCGCCATCGCGGCTCCTATCGATCGACCTCGAGCGCTGCTCAAATCGCGCTTGCGCAGCGCTCTTCTCGCCAAAATAAAATAAACTAAACCTAAATTTCTCCCACTATGCTTTTCCCAACTACCTGGCCTTTCTCTCTAGAAGGGTAGGAATATCATCCAGCTTTGATGAGACCAAAAAATAGAAACAAAGGGGGCGCATCAAGAAAGATTCGCTTATTTTTATTCCCTTGTTATCCATTGAAGAAGATGATGCCAATATACAACGCACGAATGCGTGCTTTTAGTAGTAGACATAGTGGTGGTGTTGACGACGGAGAACAAAGAACTCTGGAAAACACGAAAGAAAACGCAAAGAAGAAACAAACCATGGAAGAACGAAGAAATGAGTGTTAGAACTTTGGTGTCTACCTCCAGCTCGATCCACCCAGACGAATCACGTCCTCGCCGCTCGAGTCTTTCACTCGCGCTGCTTGGTTCTCTTCGAGCTTCTTGCCGCTAGCATCGCCATACACGTCCCGGAGCTTGAGTAAGTTCGCCGAGATCGCAACGTTTGCGGCGCTGCCATTCTTATCACTGTCTTTCATTCCGGGGCTCGAGCTCCTCCTCCTCGGACTCCTTCTCGGGCTCCGGCTCCGGCTTCTACTCCGCCTCTCCCTTCTCCAATCTCTATCCCTCTCCCTGGAAGAGTGTCGGTCTCTATCCCGGTTCTCCCTCTCCCTAGAAGAGTGCCGGTCTCTATCCCTCTCCTCTCTGTCCCGCCGGTCCCTCCTGTCCCGTCCTCTGTCCCTGTAATCCCTGTAGTCCGAGTCCCTGCTTCTCGGCCTCTCCCTCTCCACTTCACGGTCTCGGCCTCGGTCTCTCTCTTCGCGAGTCCTGTCCTGGCCTCTGCTGCTACGATCGTCAGTGTTGTTGTTGTTGTTGTTGTTGTTGTTGCCATTTGATGGAGGGAGGCTTCTTCGGACAGGAGACGAGTCTCTAGTCGAAGCTCGGTGAGGTGCTCGCTGGCCGAAGGAGACTGAAAGTGCAGCTTTCACTGAGGGTGGCCGGCGGGCGGTCTCCTCCGACGAGTGCCGGCCGGTTGTTCCTTGGGGAGTCGTGGGGAGCTTTAGCCGCTCCAGGTGGCTGGCGATCTGTCTCGCCACTGGAACCGGTATCCTTGGAAAGATGGTGTCGAAATAATGCTGAAAGTGCGAACTTAGTCAGTACCTCCCAATGAAACGCGGCAGCTAAGTTAAAAGAAAGAGAAAAACGAAAAGAAAAAAAGAAGGAAAAAAAAGAAAGATATCAAACAGCTTAGCCGTATTGGCTACACAACGTAGGACACGATTTCTTACTTCCTATGCATTGCACCACTGGTGCAACGGCTTCATAGGTGGTAGCGGCCTTCATCTCTGCAGGTTCCCTCCAGCATCAAAAAAGCATAACAGATTTTACTGCGACATCTTACCACTTGAATGCATGATAATGAGTAGGCACCCATGTACATCCTAGAGATGAGGAGAAAAAATAGACTCACCTGATGCAAGAGAAGATCGCGGATGTACACTCCCATCTTTGTCACTCGCCCATTTGTGCCGGGAGAGAATTCCTGCAGAAAAACAAAGCCAAACTTCACAAAAAGAAAAAGAAGAAATTTCTGCAAAACTCACCTCATCATCTTCAATGTAAGGCTCGAACCATTGCCAGAGAGTTCTCGGTTCGCCACAATAACGCAAGTACAAAAATCCAATCTGCGAGGAAAACAGAACAAGAAATGAGAAAAAGCTTCGAAGAAATGAAGGAATGAAAAGAGATCATACCGCACGAATGTAAGGAGAATCAGCGTGGTTGAGAAGCCCCTGCATCTGCTTGACGGTGAGCTTCATGGTGAAAAACTTGTAGAGGAGGCAAAACGCTGTCGAAGGGCCGCGGCAATTCCCAGTCATCCAGGGCTCCACATGATCGACATGGTTGTAAATCTCGTCCACGACCTCGTGAAACGTCTTGAGGCGGTAGAGCTCCTTGAAGTATTCTGACGACAAAATGTTAACATTGACGACGTGCTCGACCAGAGTCTGTATGGGCTTGCCACACGTCTGGACCTCGGCGCTCATCCTGATCTGCTAGGCCGCGCCCCCTAGGGTATTGCGAGAGCGCCGGGATTTCGAAACCCTAAGCTCAGATCCCTCAGAGACTACGTTGCGCTAGGAATCAAACCTGGAAACCGATGTCGGTGCCGCTGGCGCCGCAGAATCGCCCCTCGCGCGTGCGCGGCATTGACAAATCCCTATCGCGCGACTGATTAGGGTTCGTGGGCAAAAAAGTCCAGACGTCATTCTAAAGGCATTCTCCGTTAGAAGCATATTCCGTTACTTTGGAAAGTGCTACTTTTTTTTTCCGGGTGGAGGCTATACAATCAAACTCAAACTCTTTCCAGTCTACTTTTGAAGATTTTGTCTTCTGAATCATGTATGTGAATCATTCTCTGAGAGATAGTGATATCAAAATGAGAAAGCCTTACAAATTTATTCAACATACCTATAACACTTCGCAGAAAAATTGCATGGTGCTAGAATTGTGCGGTAGAATCATGCGAAAGGTTTGCATGTCTCCGCATCACGATAATCCCATCTCGATTGATGCTGTTTTGATGTAACAGAAAAGAGAGCAGCAATTTCAAGTGGCTAGTTCTTATATGCAACGAAGATGCACACAGCAGGTTGATTCTTTGTTATCTCATATAGGCGATCTATAAAATTCTAAAGCAAGTGGTCAAGATCGATATTATCATTTTGGCTGATTTACATAGTATTAGCTCAAGAAATGCTTGCATAAGTTGGCGATTAGATCCTCAAGAATACGACGGTCGCGCAGAAATCTAAGCGGCAGTGTCTCCTCATTTACAATTTGCTCATAAACTCTTTCTTTTCTCTTTCAGGTAAGTTTGGACGTTCTTCGCGGGGAGGAGCCGGCGACCCGCCGGTTGTTCCTTGGGGAGTGGTGGGCAGCTTGAGCCGCTCCAGGCGGCTGGCGATCTGTCTCGCCACTGGAACCGGTATCCTTGGAAAGATGGTGTCGAAATAATGCTGCAGACAGCAAACTTAGTCTAGTCAGTAAGCAAGAAAGAGAAAATGATAACTGATTTTACTGCGACATCTCACACACCTGATGCAAGAGAAGATCGCGAGTGAACACTCTCACCTTTGTCACTCGCCCATTTGTGCAGGGAGAGAATTCCTGCAGAAAAACAAAGTCAAGCTTCACAAAAAGAAAGAGAAGAGATTTCTGCAAAATCATCATCTTCAATGTAAGGCTCGAACCATTGCCAGAGAGTACTTGGATCACCACAGTAACGCAAGTACGAGAATCCAATCTGTGAGAGGAAAACAGCTCCCTGAAGTAATCTACGCAATCAAACGATTAGGGCTCCGGGGAAAAAAAGTCCACGTCATTTTTAAGGCACATCTCCGTTAGAAGCATATTCTGTTACTTTGGAAAAACTTGTTTCACTTTGGGCCGCTAGTTTTTGACGGGCCGGCTCTTTCTACCATCACGTCGTAGAGACGCTTACCATCCTACAAGAACAGAAAGTAAAGAAATGATTTATCACACACACAAACGAAAAAACAGAAGTACTTACAAAGATCACTGGAAAAAAGTGAACTTGGCCCTCCGGCTTGGTTTGTGTCTCCTTGAAGTAGACGAGGATTGGAAAGCTTGGCCACCATAGCTCCCAGTTTGTAAAGGTTGAGTACCTAGACAAAGAAGAACACAGTGAAGAGACCGTGACTTTCCTCCTCTAGATGCTTACTTCCACCGGTTTTGTCCACCGACGAAGACGTTCTCTCCGGATTCCTGTAGCTCCGAGCCGATCTTTACTTCCTGGAGAAGCTCAAGTAATGTGAAATCCAGCTCCAGCGACACAAAGAGAAAGCAACACAGAAGCTTACCAGAGCTTCGTCATCGAACACGAATTTCACTCGGGTAGTCTGTTTCAGCATAGAACCAGGAGTTAGACTTTCATTCCTGTGACGAGGACACGGACCTGGAATAAGAGAAGAAGGCCGAGCAAACCAATTGGAGCTGCTGGAAGCAAATTGTCCGTGTAAACTAGAGCACCAGCAGCACCTGTAAGGAGGAACACCGTTTGTTTCTCTCTTTTTTCCACAGAGAAATCCTTTCTACTTACCAAGAAGAACGACTGGAATGCGATAATCAGGTGCTGGAATGACAGTCTCCCTCACGATCTTGGCTGCTTGTTTCCTTTTAAACTACACGAGGCTATCGCCTTCGTCAGGACTATAGCTCTCGAGAAACCAGAGAAATTTAAGTACCAATGCTTTCACAGCCCCAGGTCTTGATAGCCTCCTCCTCGGCGAAAAGATCAAAGAAGAACTTGGAGCTCTTGGCAGCAATCCAATCGACCCAGCGCCTACATTAATCATATGTTAATCTCTAGCTAGAGCACGAGATTCTACGTACCAGGACCTGAACGAAAAACACAGGCCATAGCCATCGCCAAGAAGCCCTAAACCTCGAGAACAATATATTCGTTCCGTTTAAGAATATTTCTGTGTGATTACTATTTATCACTACTTTTTAACCACCTTTAAGGATGCTACAATGTCTAATTCGTTGAAAAGTTTAAAGTTGCAAGGTGACGGCATGGGTTTTGTAAGCAAACGCGCAAAAACAAAGACCATGGGCATATCCGAGCTTGGTGCGAGCTGACGTCACCGTGTCCACCATTGCGTCATACATGTTGCTGTAGTGGACGCGTCCGTGACGCCCGGTCGGAGCCGAAGCGCGCGTACGTTGGTCGCGTGGCTGAAGAAAGGATAGGCTGACGCGTCCATGACGTTGAAGGCGTGCGGCGTGAAGACCACGGTGCCGGCGGTACGCAGCGCGGTGTACGACTGTACGGCAGACTGGACGTCCCGGAAGGATGACGCGTCCATGACGTTGAAGGCGTGCGGCGTGGAGGCCATGGTGCCGGCGGTACGCAGCGCGGTGTGCGACTATACCGCGAACTGGATGTTCTGGAGGGCCGGAAGGCGTACCGCGCGTTGTTTGTGAGGACCTTGTTGCCGATGGAGATGGCGGGGAAGCGGACGGCGGAGATGAAAGGGGCGATGGAGGCGTCCAGCCAGGCAGCGGGGCTGGAGGCGATTTGCTGGAGCTGCTCGTCGGGGATGGAGACGCTCAGATCGATGCCCGAGTTTGCGAAAGCCGGGATCAGCGTCGAAGATGCGCGCCTTGGTGATGTTGTTGGATTTGAGCAGCGCCACGACTTGCGACGGCGACGGCGGATTGTCCCAATCTGCCATACTTCACGCCGATGCTCGCTCCCCAAGAGAGGAATAAAATCGAAATAGGGAGAGAAAGAGATTTAAAATGTGACCGTTTTGTGTCTGGAAATGAAAATGCGAGGGCTGGAAGACGAGGAATCATGGGGAATCTTGCCAAGAGGATCTATAAACTCACCAGGAATCCCCTCCAGCGCAGCCAAAACCGCAACGAGCAGCAGCACTATCACCAGCAGCCGATTGAATCTCACTCCCGCTTCCATGGAATCAATCAATCAATCAAAGAGAAGGAATCGCCCAAAGCGTTTACGATTGATCATTGAGCACACAGAGAGAGAGCGAGAGAGAGAGAGAGAGAGGTGATGAACTAAAACGCTTGTTCACTACATCGGCTTAAAGTAAAAATTCTTCATTTGATCCAGTAAAAACTCTCCACCATGGAAGAACTCTTTCACAGGAAGGATCGTGATCATGGTGGTGGGATTTAGGGTTCCAAGGCTATTCAGCGGCCAGAATCTGAGTGACAAGCTCAACAGCACGCAGCAGAGCTCCGAGAGTGATCGGTTTTTGGATCTCACGCTCACGGCCTGCGAGTGGAGTTACTGGAAAAGATGACGCCAAGAACGTATGTCGACGGCTTTTTGGAAATGCTCTAGTGACGATCACAGAGCGACAGCTGCGATAGGGATTTGTCGACATGGCGCTCTCGTAATACCCTAGGGGCGCGGTCTAGCAGATCACGATGAGCGCCGAGGTCCAGACGTGTGGCAAGCCCATACAGACTCTGGTCGAGCACGTCGTCAATGTTAACATTTTGTCGTCAGAATACTTCAAGGAGCTCTACCGCCTCAAGACGTTTCACGAGGTCGTGGACGAGATTTACAACCATGTCGACCATGTGGTGCCCTGGATGACGGGGAATTCCCACGGTCCTTCTCCAGCGTTTTGCCTCCTTTGCAAGTTTTTCACCATGAAGCTCACTGACGAGCAGGTCCAGGGGTTTCTCAACCACGCTGATTCTCCTTAACGTTCGTGCGGTGTGATCGCAGTACATTCTTCTCATTCGTTGCTCCTATTTTCCTGCGTTATTATGGTGATCCAAGTACTCTCTTCTGGCAATGGTTCAAGCCTTGTATGGTGAGCTTTCGCTTTTTTGGGTTTAAATTCTACTGTGGTTTAAAAAATTGTTATATAAACTAGATTAGATTAACGGAATTTTTAAAACAATTAAATATAATAAACATTTAAGTGAATTTATTAGGACTAAATTTTACATAATTTGTGTGAATCCCATAAAGCTATATTTGGATATTTGGCTTTATAAATAACTAAATTACAGTCATTTTGAATAGTGAATAAGGTTGGTAATAAACAGATTTTCTTATTACATGATATAGTTGAAATCATGAAATAATTATTATTATAATGCATTAACAAATTTCCATCGTTATTTAATTTAACATAACAGTTATAAATATTATCAATAGAAGTCTTAAATTTCCAAATGAGTCTATCTTCTGAGTATAAAATCAAAATACAGTTTTGTTTTAAAATTAAAATATTCTTTCTGTTTGCAGAAACTAAAAAGTTATCTGCATAAATAACTGAACCAGGATATAAAGTACTTATTCTAAGGTAACAAATTAACACATTATCAAATGAGTTTAAAAGAAAAACATTTTCAGAATCTTTTAATTTATAATATATAACATAGTTTTTGCTTTCTCCTTCAAAATAATCTGAAAGATTTTCATAGAGTTTATCCTTATACTTATTTAAAATTGTTTCTATACCTGCTATAATATTTCCACCTAAAATTCTAGTAGGTGTATCTTCAATAGTGCATTGATCTTTTGTTTTAATTATTAATTCAATAAGCCCTTTTGATGTATCTATTTCCATTTCATCTCCAAAGGTTGAAGAATAATCACTTTTGCGATTGAGTTTGAATAATAATTCATATATTCCAGCAATTATTTTAGTAATATCTTGTGTATTTAAGATTCTGACAGTTCCAAATTTAGGTGTATATTTTTTTGGAGCAATCACATGTAAAATATAAAATGAAAACAATGAAAAATATATGAAAATAAATATGAGCTTCATCTATATATATATCTGTGTGTGTGTGTGTGTATATATATACACACACACATTGATATGGGTTTTATTTTAATATAACAGCTAGTTTATAAATATAATTAAATATTATTTTTCATAATTATTATATTTTACTATTTCTATTGGCTTACTGCTCAAATATGTACCTTAGTTTAGAAATAGTTATCCTTATTTGAGTTTATTTCCCTTGGGGATTTGTATGGTGATATACCATAATTTATTTACATTATTGCATGGTCTATAAGTCCTTAAAACTTGTAGGAAATAGTGTAAATAATAATATTGAGAACTCTTTGGTTATTGTTTTTCAGTAAGGTATATGATAAATGATATTTAAGCATATGGTGCCAATGAGTTTAATTATTATTGATTGTGGCTATTAAAATATTTTATATCTCTAAGTAAAATATATGTGTTTTCTTCTATGTAATGTAATTACACAACTCTCAATTCCATCTAGTGAATTAAATACTTTCATGAACTAGTAAGAGAACTAAAAGAATGAGATTTTCATGAATAGTTTGATGTTTAAAATTTAGATTCAAATTAATGCTTGAATAATGGAATATATGTAAAATATTTGGAGTATTTGATGCTTTATAGGGTTAAAATGTTGTGATTGTTGTAATATTGAACTATATGACATATTTAGTTGAAGTCTTGCCATTTTGAAGTCATTTTTACTAATAGTTTATGTTATATTTTTTTTCCCAATTGTGAGTGCCACTAAGAATTATTGATACTTAGAAGTTTGTTTGTTCTTTTGAGAATGTGAAATCTTCCTTTCATTTTCTCATCTCAAGTATTGAGTTAATGTAAAAGAACTTGAATGAGTGGGTTTTCTTATTTTGGCCAAAGTATTTTATAATGTAATGAACTCTATTATTCAACCTTGAAAAGAGTCTTTTATAATAGAAGATCCCATATTATCCAAGCCTTAAAAACACATTTTCTTCTTTTATTTCCTTGTTTTTACTTTAACTATTGCTAAAGTTTTTGTTTTTAGTGTTTTTTATTCATATTTTGTTCTTCTACATGCTTTCTTCCTCAACTTTTCTAATTTTTTCCTCTTTTCTCTAATGTTTGAAATTTTTTTCTACTAAGGAGGGATGGATAGGAGTTTGATGTAAGTCACAAATTTTTCTTTTCTGATTTTTTAACTTACTTTCCCTACTTAACCATTTTTGTTTTGGCTATAATAAAATTCTTTTTGCCAAAATCTAAGCTTAATATACAAGCTTTACTACACAAATAATAAAGTGTGTGGTGGTTGATCATTTGGTCCCTCTTCCATATCTATTAATTCATTAATTGGTGAAGTTAGTGGTGAATCTACTGGCGTTTTTACATCTGGTATTGATCTTCTCTTCAGTAGAAGGATCATCTATAAAAAAGGAAATTAGATGAACTTAACTACCTTATTTACCTGAGTTTAGATGTGGATACTTATTATCCCATTGTTTTTGAATAAGCTTGATACATATATTAATATACTCCGTCAAAGACTGTTTTACTCTTCTTTCAACCAACTTTAGTCTATATTAAATGGCAAGTTTAGATTTACACTTTGGCAATCAAGTTAGTTTTCATTGCATCACTCTTAGTTCTCTTTGCAATCAACAAAAACAAACAAGCTTTTGTCTCTCATAAATAGAGCCATGGTCAATATTAAAAATTTTAGACTTTACCCCTTTTAGCAAGAATGGTATTGATGCTTTATTTCGTTAAAGTGGAACTTATTCAGTAAAGTGGGACATTAATTAGCATGTGTCCACATACCATTTCCTAGTACTTAATTAATATTTATTAATATTTCTATCAGTTTTTTAATTTATAAATTATAAAGCTAAAACTTCAATTTTTTATTGTTGTTATAAAAATGGCATGTGGCCACACACCATAAGTGGGATAATGAAAAGTTCCACTTTAATGAAATAAAGCATATTGGTGGTCAATTGTGATATTTAACTTGATGATTGTTAAAGTGCATTTTGTGAAGGTAAATTTTTTTCTTGCAATTTGGATGCAAGCAAACATGACACTTGACTATACAATTTAGAACCATCATCCCAATTGATTCCCTTGAGAGCAAATCCAAACCTTTGCAAACTAATTGAGAGCTCTTTATAATACCTCTACTAAGAAATGTACTTGATTTGGATTTTCCTTACTTGTGGCTATGATAGTGCCTATTGTGATGCTCTAGTGCTCTCCTAACTTTGAGATCAAAAGGCAATTAAATACCCTAAACTGTCAAGGCAGAGGATTTTCAATATAATTTGTCATCCTTACAAATATAATTTGGCATGCAATAAATTATAACTTATTATTTATATATAATTAGTTTCGTTATATATTTAATTTGTCATCTAAATATAATTTGTCATACAAATATAATTTGACATGTTTACTTTGGAATTTATCATGTGGGGAAAATAGTAATTTGTCATGTGGGGAAAATAGTAATTTGTCATGATAATCTATAATGTGTCACCTGGTCATTTTGGAATTTGTCATGGAGGGGAGTGGTGTGTTACATTAAATTTATAATTTGTCACCTAATTTGGAGAACAGTTTAGTTGGGCTAACAACTTCCTCGTAGAGCATCCTACAACAAAATGATTTTCACACACACAAAAGAAAAGAGGAAGTACTCACAAAGATCACTTGGAAAAAATAAGCTTGGCCCTTGTGTGTCCTTGAAGTAGACGAGGATTGGAAAGCTCGGCCACCATAGCTCCCAGTTTGTAAAGGCTGAGTACCTGGAATTAGAAAAACACAGTGAAGAGACCCGTGACTTTCGTCTTGATGCTTATTTTTTCCACCAACGAAGACGTTCTCTCTGGATTCCTATAGCTCCGAGGCAATCTTTACTTCCTCGAAAGCTCAAGTAATTTTAAATCCAGCTCCAGCGACACAAAGGGAACAAACACCACAGAAGCTTCGTCATCGAACGCGAATCTTACTCGGGTGGTCTGTTTCAGCATAGAACCAGGAATTAGACTTTCATTCGTGTAGAGAGCACACGGACTTGGAATAAGAGAAGAAGGCCGAGCAAACCAATTGGAGCTGCTGGAAGCAAATTGTTCGTGTAAACAGCGGTACCTGAAAGAAAGAACACTCCTTGCTTCTCATTTTTTTCCACAAAGACCCAGAAGAACGATTGGAATGCGATAATCAGGTGCTGGAATGACAGTCTCCCCAACGATCTTGTTTTAAACTACACAAGACTATCGACTTCGTCACGAATATCGCTCGAGAAACCAGAGAAATTCGTACCTGCTTCCACAGCCCCAGGTCTTGATAGCCTCCTTGTCCAGAAGATCACAGAAAAACTTGGAGCGTTCACAGCAATCCAATCGACCCAGCGCCTACATAGAGAACGGTCGGGATCATGGCATATTCGTTTTTCTGTTTAAGAATATTCCTGTGTGATTACTATTTCTCACTACTTTTTAACCACCTTTAAGGATTCTAGAATGTCTGACGTGAACAACCACCTAATTGAGAAGTATCTTCGTCAATCGTTGAAAAGTTTACCTCAAAGTTGCAAGGTGACGGCATCGGTCGTGTACGCAAACGCGTAAAAACAAAAGGCAAGCAAACAAACAACTTTTTTCTTCAATCGCAGCCAATAAGGTGGTAAATCCCATCGAACTTATTAGACATCACACCATCATCCTTCTAGATCGAAAAAAAAAAGAGAAAGAATCTTAAGGCAAGCACCAACTATGAGAGTGTGATGGTATACACTTGGGCCAGGCTGGGCTCAAACAGCCCAAAATTCCTCTCGGACACCGGCCCGGTCTTTTGGTCCTCGTTGAACAGCGCAAAAATGTAAGTCTCCGCCGTGACGCCGGGCCGCGCGGGAGTGCCCACACCAGACACCACATGCCGGATGAGATTCTGGTTGTACCGTGCGGCATTGGCGGTAGTGGCGCCGGGCTCGTCCCCCTTGCTCGGCCACCCGGTCTCGGTCACCACCACGGGCATATTCGGGTAGCCGAGCTTTGTGAGCGCTGACGTCACCGTGTCCACCATTGCGTCATACATGTTGCTGTAGTGGAGGTTGGCGGGCGCGTCCGTGACGCCCGGGTCGGAGCCGAAGAGCGCGTATTCCAGCGGTACGTTGGAGGGGTCGCCGGCGTAGCTGAAGAAAGGATAGACGTTGATCATGAAGGGGCTGCCTGACGTGGACAGAAAATCCACCACTGGCTTGAGGGCGATGGTGGCGTTGAAGGCGCCGTTGGAGGGCGGGAAGGATGACGCGTCCATGACGTTGAAGGCGTGCGGCGTGGAGACCACGGTGCCGGCGGTACGCAGCGCGGTGTGCGACTGTATCGCGAACTGGACGTTCTGGAGGGCCGGGAGGAGGAAGGGGGCGTACCGCGCGTTGTTTGTGAGGACCTCGTTGCCGATGGAGATGGCGGGGAAGCGGACGGCGGGGATGAAAGGGGCGATGAAGGCGTCCAGCCAGGCCTTGGCGGCGACGGGGCTGGAGGCGATTTGCTGGAGCTGCTCGTTGGGGATGGAGACGCTGAGATCGATGCCCGAGTTTGCGAAGGCCTGGATCACTGCGGGATCGGCGTCGAAGATGCGCGCCTTGGTTATGTTGTTGGATTTGAGCAGCGCCACGACTTGCGCCGGCGATGGGAGATTGTCGCCCAATCTGCCATAGTTCACGCCGATGCTCGCTCCATCCGCGCCTGCCAAGAGAGGAGTCAAATCGAAATCGAAACGCTCTGATTCAACCAAGAGAGAGGAAGAGATCTAAAAATGTGACCGTTTTGTGTCTGGAAACGAAAATGCGAGAGCTGGAAGACGAGGAATCGTGGGGAATCTTGCCGAGAGGATCTATAAACTCACCAGAAATGCCCTCCAGCGCAGCCAAAGCCGCGACGAGCATCAGCACTATCACCAGCAGCCGATTGAATCCCACTCCCGCCTCCATGGAAACAATCAATCGAAGGAATCGCCCAAAGCGTTTGCGATTGATCGATGAGGAGAGAAAAGGGAGAGAAAGAACTGACGAACGAAAACGCTTGCTCGAGCTAAACAGAGGAGCAGTGGCAACACTACAGCGGCTTAAAGACAGTCCGTTGTGCTTAATAATTCACGGTTTAATTAGTCGAAGACTAAAGTATTAATTGGTCCACACGAGTCAGTGCCAGTATACTACAGGTAAAACGTAAAAAAGAAAAAAAGAGAGAATCTTTATTTGATCCAGTAAAAATTCTCTATCTACATCTGTACATTCTCCACACCGCGATTTGGATCTCGAATAACTCTTTCACAGGAAGGATCGTGATCTTGGGCAATTCGCGCAATTCCAGCGATGGAGTTTGCGTCGATCGAATTGGAAATTGGGTAAAGGATTGAGCAGCAGCAGGATTGATATAGATGCGGTGCGCTTGAGAGGACGAAAGAGCTCGCCCTAATTTTTGGCATTTAGAAGATATCGATCCTCGGACCCTTTTATAGAGGAGGAGGAGCGATGGGCGGCTTTAGGGCAGTGCTATGCGGTCCGGCAAGGGTTGAGGCGTTCTTGGCACGGCCGCTCGAGGCGCCAGGCTGCGGCTGCTAGAGGTAGGCAAGGATTTAGGGTTCCAAGGCTGAGATTTTCTTCTTCCAGGGGATTCGGCGCCCTTGATTTTGGGCTTCTTCGCCATGCAAGGGCTATTCAGCGGCCAGAATCTGAGTGACAAGCTCGTCAAGCTCAACAGCACGCAGCAGAGCATCGAGAGTAAGATCTCTTCCGTTTCGCCTTCTCATGGTGGATTCTTTCTTCTTTTTGCTCCTCAGCTCTGTCACATTGGTGCATTTTTCATCGGAAGTATGCAAAGCAAGTCGTGGATATTTGGGAGAAGGAGTTCTTCCAGGCGCCGAGAGAACAACGCGTCCCTTTCTTGTTCCTCGCCAACGACATCTTGCAAAACAGCCGCCGAAAGGGCTCGGAGTTTGTCTCCGAGTTTTGGAGAGTCTTGCCGGGTGCGCTCAAGCTCGTCATGCAAAATGGAGACGATAGCAACCGGAACACGATCCTTCGACTGGTTAGTTTTCTTGTTCATGCGAGCTCGATATGACTCCATGCTTGATAGATTGATATATGGGAGGAGAGGCGGGTTTTTGGATCTCACGCTCACGGCCTGCGAGTGGAGTTACTGGGAAAAGATGACGCCAAGAACGTATGTCGACGGTTTTTTGTAAATGCTCTAGTGACGACTCTTTCTGGCTTGATCACAGAGTGATGCGCTTATGCCAGAAAAACTCGTTGCAGTGTACAAAGCGTTTCAAGACAAACTAACTGACGAGGACGCGACGGTCTACAAGTGCCAAACCGCGGTTCTTCACATGGATGCCTTTGAAAAAGAGATAGACACAACGACCATATCAGGTGATTGTCTGCGTCTCCTTTGGTCCACAACTCGTTTTTGAACAAGGATCTTGCCTGCCAGGGCAAGAGAGTAGCATTATCTTGATAGAGGAGCTGCAGCAGCGAGAAACAATCCTTTTGGAGTGTGCTCAGCAGCTGGAAGCTATAGAGATTGCCCGCTCCAGCATTGTTTTCCAGCTTAAGGAAACTCTCCGGGACCAGGTGTGTGAAGCGAATTTACTTTCCAAGTTACTCCTTTTCCCCTTCTAAACACTGTTTGTTCTCGCAGGAGGACAAGCTCGAGAGAACACGACTTTTGCTCCAGGTTTGAAACGTGCTAGCGATCCAAAACTTCACAACCCAATGATCCTCGTCACAATTTTCGCAGGCTGCTCACACTCACGCCGACCAAGCTAGGATGATGCAGCAGCAAATCTATGACGCTGCTAGCGGCCAAGCTTACCAGCCAGTAGTAGCGAATGGCTCGACTGGCGGCGGCGGCCTTCTAGCTCACCACCATCACTACGACTCGAGCATCCAGCACCAGCAGCACAGCGTCCCATCTCTCTTGAGCAGCGAAGCCGAGTGTTACGTCCCGACCGAGGCGAAGATGTTTGATCCGGCCGCCGCGGCCGAGGTCGCAGCTAAGCTGGTAGCGTCGAGCTCGTCGGCAGCGATGATCTCGTCTGTCTTGTCGTCCCTTGCAGCGGAGAATGTGGTGAAACTACAAGATCCGCAAGACAAACAGCAGCAGCAGCAGCAGCGAAACTTTGATGATCCGACCGAGAACTACGGTCAAAACCCAGAAGAAGTAGCGATCGAGGAGGAAGTAGAAGAGGAGGAAGATCCGGGGCGAGAGCCGCCAGAGAAGCGGCAGAAGGTGGATGAGGGCGAGGAGGAGAGTGAGTCGCTCTTGGGGCCGGCGGTGGAGCTGGAAGAAGAATTTGGGGAGGAGGTATCGGCGGCAGAAGTGACGAGCTCCATCCCATTGTCGCCGGCGGCGGTGGTGGCGGCTGTGGCGGCGCCGCCAGCGACAGAAGCGGTGACGACCGCGACGGCGGTGGCGACAACGATAATGGGCTCGTCATCGTCAATGTTACTTCCCTTTAGTTTTGGAGGGCAAAGCTTGGGATTCCCATTGCCAGTGGCGGCGCCGCCGGGCTGTGCTCCAGCGAGCGATCATACAAGCACTAGTTTGTTTGCTCTCCCGCGACAATGATCTTCCTCCTCTAAGGGCTATAAAAGGTTTGGTGTGCTCGCTGGATTCGAACCCCCGTTCTTTTAGGGTTTATGGATTTGCATCTTTTAGAATAAAGGTATCCGGCCTTTTAGGGTTCTACGGAACAAACGGCGAACTGCCAACGCATAACCGGATGAGTTTTGTTGTGTCTGTTGGAGAAAATTTTGGCCGCTTTTCTTCGCATTTCTTGGAGCTGCCGATCTAGGCGCTGGGTAGGCGCTAGCTCGGAGTCGGAAGAATCGCGCGGCGGCAGGCAGGGTTGCTTTGATCGGCCGCGGCGATGGTGAAAATGGACGAGTACGAGATCATGGACAAGATGGAGGAGCTCAAGAAGCTCCAGAAGGAGCAGGAGGCGATCAAGCTGGAGAATGCGCTGCTGTCGGAGCATCTATCGGTATGTTTGATCCTTCTTTCTCGGGGATTTGGGCCTCCCGATATTTCGATCGATCTTGCGATGTCTCGGGGGTCTGGGGTTGGATCGAAATATCTGGCTCACGGATCGATCTCTTGCAGCGGATCGTGACGCGCAAGGGCAGTATGCAAATCCATCTGGAAAATTTGGAAGCCGAAGAGCAGGAAAGAGAGGCCGAGGAGAAGGAAAAGGCGGATGCCGCTGCCGCTCTTGCGGCGGCGACGGCAGCCGATGCTACAAAGAGGAGGAGGAGCACGAAGAGATCGTTTCGGGTTTTCCAGGAGGTCCAGAGGCCCTCCGTCAAGTTCTTCTCGCCACTAAGAGATTCTCGCAAGCCTCGCGTTCGAGCTCCCATGAGTCTAGAGGAGAAGCTTGAAGTTGTGGACGACGAGATTGGGTGTCACAACGAGCAGATGAACCGGCTGACGGCCGAGAACAATCGAGTGCTGGACGATCTGCGAGCGGTTTTCGAAGAAACTGACTATGGGATCAAGGATCTTGCCAGTGAGAAGAACAGCATTCAAAGAGATTTGATGATCTTGGCGGAGATCAATCCTCGTCGAAAGCTCTACACTGAGGATTTCTTGAGGTACTAGCCTCTCGCTCCCCAAGTTCTCGCTAGTTTCTTCCTGGGTGACATAAAAGTTTCTCTTTCAGGTTTCAAGGAGAGAAGCTGAGGAAGAAAAGGAACATCCGGGAAAAGCTCCAAGAGAAGATTGATATACTACACATGGAGGTCATGGACGCGGAGCACCAATTCTCCACCAAGAGGGATCTCAAGGACATTTTACACGTGATCGACTTTGATCAGCTCAAGATCCAGAGGATTCAGCTGCGATCGCGTATTCGTCTTCGAACAAGTGAAGTGTGGAGATATAAAGCGTTGATAAAGAATGCTGGCGCGGTAAGAACACTGGCACACTGGCTTTCACTTAGTTTTTAGTTATAGTACTTGTGTTTGATGCAGCTCTTGATGAAAGCTCGCAAAGATCTCGAGGAGAAAGTCGAGGAAGGGAAGCGCATAAGGCAAAGCATTGTGGACAGAACACCACAGATCTCGTCTTCGCAGGTGGAGATCAACATGGAGAAGAAAATACAAGTCAGTCATTCTTTTTCTTTACGGTTCAGCATTCTCATCTTTTAGTTTTCTGATCCCAGAGAAGCCTCAACGAAGACATTCTTCGGCTAATACAAGAACAAGACGGCCCTCCCCAGCCCCGCGTTCTGGATTACATGCGATATCGTATCAAAGTAGCGGAGCTGAGGAGAGAGCTCAAGACTTGGCTGAGCAAGGTGAGGCTTCTTGCTCCCTTCTTTTTATTTCTTTTCGTTTTTTTCTCTTTTTGTTTAGGCGATAGCATTGTAAGCCCTGAAATTGCAGGTGGACGTGATCGAACAATCGCACATCCGGCTGAGAAATCACGTGAGATACATCAGGAAACAACGAGACGCGATTCTAGCTGCATCACCGGACATACTAGCGTCACTACCGGATCGAGGTGCTACTCCTGTGCAACCCAAGCTCGCGCCTGTAAAAGTCAGCCTCCGTCCAATGCAAACCAGCTTCACTCCCGTCGCAGTTCACGGTTGATCTATGGCCAGCCAGTTGCGGGGCTCGCTGTTCAAGGCCAGGATTGCCGGAGGTGACGACATACTCGATATGCAGGTGATATTTTTTGGAGATTGTGTCTACTTCAAAACTAAGCTTTTTTCTTTCAGACTACAGCAAGAGAAAATTGATACACTTGATCAGAGCCACCATGAACCATCCGATCGTGCATTGGAACCTTAATCGTACAGGTAAAAAAAAAATGCTGAAGAAAGTCTTGGGCACGCTTATTGCTGTTTCTTGCAGCAAAGCTCGCCAAGAGCTAGATAGATCGGGAGATCGCTCTCTTCATCGCAAGTTAACATCGGGGGTTATAACTTTCAAGGCTCGTTCAAGGCCTGTATTGCCGGGTGCTCCGCGTAATAGCTGAGCGTTACAGGCCGGGAAGTTGGCGGCACGGGGGCCGGCACGTCTCCACTCAGAAACTGGCAACACTCTCGCATCGTCGGCCTGCTATCCGCATCGGGATGGCAGCACAAGAGTCCGAGGGTCAAGACGCGCTCCATTTGCAACGCATCGAAGCACTTGATCAACTTCACGTCCGCGGCCTCGAGCAGCATTCCTCCGGTGTTGGCCTTCCACACCCAGTCGAGCAGAGTTATTCCATCGGCTTCGAAGCTCTTGTCAAGCGCGTGGAGGCCGGTTGCGATCTCCAAGAGGACCACTCCAAAGCCGTAGACGTCCGACTTTACGGTTGCTCTTCCGGTGTACGCCAACTCGGGAGCGATGTATCCCAAGGTTCCGACTTTGGTCATGTCCTCGGTGGTGGCGTCCATGAATCGAGCCAGGCCGAAGTCGCCGAGCCGGGGAACGAAATCAGCATCCAGCAAAACGTTTGCGGCTTTCACGTCCCGGTGGACGATCTTGTGCTCCCATCCTCCGTGCAAGAAGGCGAGCGCTTCGGCGATGCCTTGGGCGATGTTGTACCGCTGATCCCACTGGAGAACGCGCCGGTGGTCGAACAGGATGGTGTCGAGGCTCCCGTTGGGCATGAACTCGTAGACGAGGATGAGTTTGCTTTTCTCGTGACACCAGCCTCGGAGAGAGACCAAGTTCTTGTGCTGGAGGCGGGAGATGATGGACAGCTCCGATATAAACTGGTGGTGGCTCTCCTTGGAATCGTTGGCCAGCAGCTTCACCGCCACGACCGAGCCGTCGCTGGACAGCACTCCTTTGTAGACGCTTCCCATCCCTCCGCGGCCGAGCAGCTCCTTGTCGCTGAAGTTCTTCGTCGCCAGCGCCAACTCCTCGAAGCTGAAGAGCGTGAAGGAGCAGCCAGCTTTGTTCCGTCTCTGGATACTCCGTGTCTTGAGGTAGACCCGGAGGAAGGCCTGGAATTGTAGCAGCGCAGCTCCCAGCAGCAGCATCGCGACTCCCAGCCCGGCCGAGGACAGCAAAACCGCGACTATGAAGTTCGTTCTACTGCAGTACCACGCCTTGCAGGCTCCCGGTGGTGCGCTCTTGTTCGGGGGATGGCTCACGTACCGGGTGGTGAAGCTCCATTTGTAGATCTGGTAATACTGGTGACACTGGCCAGTGGATGCGGAGAAGCCAACGTAGTAGCTTTCCCTCTGGAGAATCGCCGGGAGCCTCACTCTCGGCAATTCCAGGTCTGGCTTTGCGGGTCTCCTGTTCCCGTTGCTAACTCTCACCTCTAGTGTGTCGTAGAGGCCCCAGTACTCGATCCACGCGGTGAGCGTGAGATTACTGGCCAGGAGCTCCTGCATGTTGCTTCCAGTCGTTTGAGCCGAGATGAGGCTGCCGAGATCCACACCGACGTGCTGCCAGGGCGGGTCCTCGTACACCATGTTCTGGTGCGTGTCAAACTCCACCGCAAACGTGTGGTTGAGGCTCCGGCCGGGGGTCATGAGGCCGAGGACGCTTCCGGGTGGAGGAGCCCGAGGCTTGGGGACGACGACGAAGGCGAATCCTTCTCCCTGCTGGCACGACGGCTGCGTGATCTTGAACTGAAACGAGGTATTGAAGGTGACGAGCTTGACAGGGGCGTCGGCATGGCGGAAGCGGACCGGGAGCTTGTGGTAGACTCGTCCGACACTCCCTGGCTGCCCCGAGGTGAGGAAGATGCTCGTCTCTTTGCCTTTTGCGCTGCCTCTGAAAGCTAACAGGTTGCTATTCTGGAAGGAGGGAGTGAGGGTGAAGGAGATGTCGTCGCCTGCTTGGCACAGGGGGAGTGTGAGTGAGATCCAAAACACGAGCACAGCAGTGGCAGCAAGCATGGTTCTGGAAGATGGAAGATCGATCTAAACAGGTTGGGTGGTCGCACGAGCTTATGTTGGAAGTTCCGATGGACGGACGGCGGACTCCCACAAGGCCGCATTATTGGGAGACAGGACAAAGACCAACAGTTTTGTCACTGGGACCGAGGAGAACAAAAGAAACACTTTTCTTCGTTACCTCTTACAAACAAAGTCTATCGGGCTGGAGGAGGAAGAACTCTCAAGTTTTCCGTATCGTCTCACAGACTTCATTGATAAAGGTAACGACATAGTAGTTTAAGATCTCCTCTTACATGTTTTTCTTTTCATTGTTTTTCAGGCGCCATGCTTCCAATTTGAGGAAACTTGCGGAGTGTTACAGTGAAGAAAATGGCAGGACGGGGGAAGAGAACTGCTAGACGAGGGTCTTAGGAGGAAGCTCTGAGAAATCTGGCCACGGCCCTTTGGCCCTCCACGACGGCTTGCTGGGACAGCTGCCCGGGCAAGGCGAGCTTGCAGGCGGTCTGGATGTCCTTGGAGGAGAGCGTGGCCGCCTTGTTGCGCCGGACCAGCTCCGCCGCCTCTCTCGCCAGCCTCTCAAACATGTCGTTCATGAACGTGTTCATGATATCCATGGCCGTGGTCGATATCTTGAGATCCTGGTGCGTCGTCGACCGCAAAACCTTGAGGATGTAGCGCTTGTACGTGTTGCTCGCCGCCGCCTTCTTTCGCTTGCCGGATCCAGGAGCTTCTGCCGGAGTCGCTGGAGCTTCAGTTTGGGGCTGCGCCGCTGGAGGAGCTTCGGATTTCGTCGAGGGAGTCTTCTTGGCGGGAGCTTTCACCGGAGGCTTCTTCATCGTCTTCGCCGGCACCTTCACTGGCTCCGCCACACGGGCGCTCTTCGCCACCTTTGCCATGCTGCAAAGGCAAACACAGCCCAAGCAGTATATATATATCCCTCCATTATAAAAAGTCACTCTCAAGCTCAGGTATGTCCGTATAGAATATGTTGTCCGTACGCAATATCTCCGTACGGGAAACGTCCGTACGTAAAATGTTTTTTGCTAAGCGTGATGGAGCGGAGCTGCTGCTCGTCGTCCCTTCCAGGCATAATCTCCTCGCTAGCGTCATTGTATGGGAATAATCCCTCTTCTCCCCAAATGTGACGTGCCTAAGAATCGTACACCAAGATTCTTTACAACCCGAAAAAGATCATGCATATCTCTCGTTTGAGCATAGTTTGGAGGCTCAGAGAAGAAAGTTAGGCGTTCCTGTAAATGAAGTACAATGCATAGCTGATGAGCCGGTTAAACTAACTTTCTATTCAAGAGAGCGGAATTTGCTTCGTAAACAACAATACCCTCACCCTGTATGTATAAGCCTCCTCGTTGTCGTCTGGAACATAAATGGGCATCTCAACATGCATACCTCCAAGAGCTCGTCCCTTTTCTCCCTAAACGGCGGACACAAGGCCCCACTCGACGCAGTGCCCCGAATGTCATCCAGAACACCAGCTTGCACCTCAAGCCCCTCTTGCAGGCTGCCTCCACACGCGTTTGCAAGTTGCCGCAACGCTTGCTCCACTTTCACCAGGCTTGTATCATCCTCCTGTTCCTGACTCCCATCCGCGATGTAGTGCTTGATCTTGATCACGTTGAGCAGATACTTGTCGAGCGAATATCGTCCACGATGATGTTGCTAAGGTTCCGTCCCAGCCAAGTCCTGCAACAAGGTGTTGCCGGTAGAGTCTGTGCGAGAAGATTGGATCCAAAACCTGCAGCGCAGCCTCGGCATACGGCTGCGCCGGCCATGGCGTGCAAGAAAGAATCCACACCGGGTCTCTTAGCCATGTAGAATCTCCACACAGGAGGCAGCCTCGCGCGCATCTCATGTAGGCCCTGTTCCAGCAATGGCCATCCATCTTTTGTTGCTGACGCTACACGGCCAATAGTCAATTTGATGTCAAAGCAGCGCAGCAGCTAAGAAGAGGAAGGAGAATATTCTTTGATAAAAGGGTTGTCCGTTCAGAATATTTTATCCGTACACAAAGGTGTATATTCCGTGCATTAGGTTAGACTTTTAAGTGAACTTGTCGTCCACATTTTGTAAAAACGCCATAATCAGTCAAACTATACGTGTGTTTCTTGTTGCAAGAGTAAGCACAGCGCAGCTAAACCAGAGTATGGTGATGGTGGTGAGAATGGTGGTGCTGGTGCTGCGAGTGATGGTGATGAGCGATGTTAGCGTCGGAGCGATCGCAGCAGCTTGCCCCTGGATTGTTGGCGGTGGGAGCGGCAATGATACCGCTCCCTCCGCCGCCACTTCCACCGCTCGGATGGTGCTGGTGATGCTGCTGCTGCTGCTGCTGCTCCAGAGCTCCTCCTCCTCCCGCCATGGCCGACTGCTCGCCTTCTTCCTCCTCCTCCTCCTCCGCCTCCTCCTGGCTGCTGCTCTCAAACTCCTCCGCCCGCTGCACCAGCGACAGCTCCATCTTGTCCATCTCGCCCTCCACCTTCCGCCGGAGGATCTGCAAGTGCTCCCCGGTCACCATATGCACCACCGACATCTCGTCGATGAGGCTCCGGTTCTGCGCCTCCTGCAGCCCCTCGCCCACCCGCGCCGCCACGTCCGGGTGCCGCCGGTTGAACCACACCCACCACTTCTTCACGGGGATCCCGTCCTTGAACGGCGAGCCTTTGTTCACCGACAGCGGCGCCACCCTCCGCCGCAGCGAGTTGAGCGTCATGAGCGACTGCGATACCTGCTGGATGCTGAAGAACCACTCCACGATGGCCGACTCCTGCTCGCCCCTCGTCATTCCTCCGTGCGGGCCTCTCTTCCTCGAGTGCGTCCTCCCGTTGAGCCAGTTCCTCAGCGTCGTCCTGGGGATCCCGTAGCACTGCCCGGCCTTCCGGATGGAGATCCCGTTCTTGATCGCCGCGAGAGCGTTGTGGAGCGCCTGCTCCGTCCACCCGTTGCTCTTCCTCGACTTCTCGTCCGACTCTTTCATCTCCCCGGACTCAAACTGGCCCTCGTCTTCCTCCTGCTTGCCTTCACCACCACCACCACCACCACCACTCGGGCTTCTCTTCTGTGCACCGTTGAGCGTGTACTTGAGTGTCGAGCGCGGGATCCCAAACTGCTGCCCCGCGCTGCCGATAGTGCAGGAGCCACTCTTCACGGCTTCCACGGCATCTAGCAGCGCCTGCTCTGTCCATTTGCCACCTTTTCCCCGCTTCTTGCCTCCGGACATGGAGATCTCCGCGGACTCGAGCTGCTGCTCCACGCAGGCGTCGTCCCTTCCAGGCGTAAGCTCCTCGCTAGCGTCATTGTATGGGAAGTCTTCCCCAGTCATCCTAACACCTTCTTCTCCCAAACTAGAGTCTCCCTGCTCGAAAGCGAGAGATGTGTGCGGGCCGCGTTTCCGGGACCTTGTCCGACCTGTTATCCAATTCCTGAGCGTTGTCCGTGGTATGCCATAAGCCCGGCTTGCTTTGCAGATCGTCAAGGTGTTGTTTTTAATCGCTTCCATAGCCTCCATCAGCGCCTTCTCCGTCCAGCAGCCAACTTTCTTCTTCCCTTCTCTGGCCTTTTTCTTCAAACGCTCCTTCTTCTCGCCACCATCAGGAATCTGATCGTCACCACCGTCCTCCTCGTCGTCATCTTCGTCGTCTTCCTCATCATCCTCATCGTCATTCATCTCCGCCACAGCCATTGCATAGGCATCCTCCCTGCTACCATGGAATGGCTGCCCGTATACAGTAACCTCGGTCCCTGACGACGATGACTTCTTCTCTTGCTCCTTCATCCAGTAGTCAAGCGTCGAGTTTGGAATGCCGTAAACCTGTGCTGCCTTGCTCACCGCCATGCCCCCGTTCCTCACAGCGTTGAGTGCCTCAAACAGCGTATGCTTCGTCCACACTCGCCTCCTCTTCCGCAGCAAACTATCCTCCTTACTGTCACTCCCATGTCCCTCCTCACCGGAGTTTAACGTCACCTCGTTCCCCATCATCAGCGTTCCGGGATGCTGATCGCCCTGCATCTCCTGGCGACAAAACGAGAGAGCCTCGTCTACTTTCGGCCCGCGCTTCCTAGACCTGTTCCTCCCGTTCAACCAGTTCCGCAAAGTCGACCGAGGAATCCCAAAGTCCTTGCTCGCTTTGTAGGCTGTCAAGGATCCACTTTTCACAGCCGCCACCGCGTCGCACAGAGCCTGCTCCGTCCATCGGACTTCCCTCGTCCGCTTCGAGTCGGGCTGGTCGCTATCGTTTCTCAGCTCGTCATCGTCGTTGGCATCGCAAAGAGAAGGATCCTCCCACCTCCCACCCTCCGCTTGCATGACTACGTGGTGCGAGCCATCTAAGACGTGGTGAGCTCCTTCCATCACCGAGACGCTCTCGGCCCGGCCACTGTAGAGTGGCTGCTCCCACCGGACCTCTTTCACGATCTGGTGCTGCCCTCCACCGCTGCCATCGCCTCTAGCATCGCAGAACCCCTGCTCGGTCCATCGGAGCTCTAGCTTGTTCACGGCCTGGTGATGATCATCGTGGGAGCCGGGAGCTACCACACCCATTCCTCCTGCTAGAGCCACCAGAGCCTGCTGGCTTCCTTGCAATTCGCCCTCTCGCACGCCATACTGCGCTGCCACTCCCTGGAGATCCTCCCGGAGCACAAAATGCTGGCCATCCCTCACGACGTACTGACCAGGAATGTGGTGGTGGTGATGCTGCTGTTGCTGCTGCTGATGGTGGTGATGGCTCTCCGGTGCCATGGCGAAGTGATGCACGCCCTGGAGGTGATGCTCGCTCCCATCCCTCACGGAATCCATCTGCTGCTGGCTCAGCGACAAGACATTCACAGCGTCCATCCCGCGCAGCGCTAGCGCTCTCACATCCTGCCCAAAACGCGCGTCAGAGCTAGAACCCTAAAATTTCTTGCAAGAACTGGAGAAAGTGGGGAAGAAATCTCTCCAAGAAAACGCCCCCGGAGAGCTGGGAATCCCGAGAGGGAGCGCGGCTTGCTCACCTCGACATCCGGAGGACGCGCCAAGAAAATGCCGCAGAGATTAGGGCAAGAGATCCAGGAGAAGCGGCGATCGTAGCGCCGGCGTCACGCATCTTAGAAGCATCCTTGCTCAAGAACCCTGGATGGAAACCGAAGAGAAAAAAAATTTGATCCGAAAGAACTCCCACTGAGAAAGAGAAAAACATTTCATTTATCTCGCCTAGTTTAAGCTACAAAATGCTTCGCATCTGCGCCGTCCGATGCCAAGCGGTACCAACGGCCACGATCCAGAGCGACACGGACGGACGAGATTGAGGTGCAATCTTTCCGTTACAGTCGTGGCGAGTTCCCAGCCGTTATTTCTTGCCAGTTCCAAAGTTCTGGGGAAAACGAAGAGTTCCAAACAAAACAAGTACCCATAGAACGATGAACGATTCAAGGCACGTAAACAAAAGGCTCGGGAGGAGCTGGCTCCAAATCGACGCCTCCCATTGGGATTGGAGCGGCGGCGGGAGCTCCATTTGCTCCTCCTGCTGGAGCTGGCGACGCTGGCGAATCGGTGGAGACGAGCTCCACTGGCTCCGACGGCTCCAAGTCTCGCAGCATCACGAATCCCGCCGGAGTTCTCTTCACTGGAGCGTAGCGGCAGCCCTCCGGGAACCGGACATACTTCTCCTGGAGTGGGATCACTCGCGCTGGATTGCTCAAAACCTCGGAGGTGGCCTCGGGATTTACAGCCTTCTTCTCAACAGCACTGTCCACCTGGAACGGGATTCCAAAGTTTCAGCACAAGAACAAGAACGGAAAGAGAGAGAAAAAGAGAGATGGAGTTACCTCCATAGCCTCGCTGCCATCTTTCGCTGCTTCTTTCCCTGAGGACGATTCCTCCGGCGGTTCAGCAGTAGAAGCTGCTTCGGACGTGGCTGCCGTGGCACCTGTGCTACTGCCGACGTCCATCTGCGAGCTCGTATCAGGCTGCTTCTCTGCCTTCGTCTTCGCGTCTGTGTCTTTCTTTGCTTTCGACTTGGAGCGGCCGGACGTGGATAGAACCGCCGTGGGGAGCTTGATGTTCACGTTGACGGATGGAGGCGCTGTAGGCGCAGGATATGCAAACAAAGCGGGCTTCGCATCGGAGATGATGTCAAACTTCGGCATCCTCAGCTCGTGGTTGAGTCCGATGAATGCTGTTGGTGCGAAAGAGAGGCTGACGAAGTAGGTCAGCGGGTACCAGTACCAAAACTGGGTGAAAACGGCCATCCCCACGACTGCCATCACCCGGTCGTGACCAGTTCGCGACTGCAGAGATATGGTCACATTCCTGCCTCCGGCATCTAGTATACCATACGCCAGTATGGCTCCCATCTTGCTCATCGTGTCCTCGTGTTTGTCACTAACAATTTTGTCGAGTTGACGCCTGCGAGAGGAACATCACTTCTAAGCGTTATACTGCAAATAGCTGACAAACCTGAAAACAGAAACGTGAGGCTCTCGGGCTTCGGTAGCCTGCATCAGAACCATCGCCATAGCCATAAGTGCTCCCTGGCGAACAAAGTCCACAGCGTCTGACGTCAAAGGTTCCAGAAGCGAGATCGCCTCACTGGACGCAGTTCCAGCACAGGAGATTCCGACAGCCATAGCCGCGCCATAACGAACGTGAGCGTTGTACGACTCCGACAAAAGGGAGACAATTTTTGGAGTCTAAGAAAAAAAGAAAATATTAGACGTCGTCATACGCAAGAGAAATTGTGAATCTTACCTGAGTAGGATCAGAACATAGCACGAATCCAAGAGCTAAAACTGCTGCTCTTCGGACATCGTCACTCACGTCCGAAACGGCAAAATGCAGCAGACGGCGGATAGCACTGTTGTTAGACGTGCCTCTATAAGCCAGAGCCAGGGCGTACATGCCACCATAGCGAAGAATAGGATCCTGATCCCTTGTCATCTGCTCGATCAAAGTATCTGCTTCTTCTTCACGACCATAGACAACCAGCGCTATTCCAAGAGCCAGCCCCCTTATAATCTTCTCGTGTTGTGTATCGTGAGCGTACGTGAGCATTTCTCCGGCTTTATCGCTGGCGCTTCCAACCATAAGCAGACCCATAGCAATCCCTGCCGCCTCGCCAGCGATGGCGCTGTCTGTATACAGTACATGTTTTATGTCTTCGTAGATTTCATCGTCGGCAGTGCCCAGTGCGGCTAGTCCTAATCCAAGACAAGCACCATGTTGGATCACCTGCATCACAAGTACCAAAACATTATTTACAAACGTCTTACTCAGAATGACGCTTACCTCATTGTTTGTCTTTCTCAAGCTCTCTAGTAAGAACGACTTGATTCCTTCACCGTGGTTAGCATGTATTAGTCCTAAAGCGTAAAGAGCTCCACCTTCCGAGTATGGACTTCCCCCACCAGTCCCACCATCTTGAGGTAGATATGGGGCCATTAAAGAGCGGCCCTGCTGCAAATGACCTCTGTGAATAACACCCAGCCCAGCCGTTGCACTAAACTTTGCCCAATTGGTGGCCCGACTCAGCCAATCCTAACGATATGCTCTTCAATCAGCCGCAGCATTAACAACAAAAAAAGAACGCTCACCAGATTATCGCGCAAAAACGTATCCACTGTTGTCCCCGCATGCATCAAAGCATTTGAGTATATTGTAGCGCTGTGACAAACACTGTTTCTCGTTTCAACTGAATGCTTGATAGTCTTCAGAATAAGGAGGTCCGACCTGAAAACATAGCAGGCATAAGAATCGAGAAAGATAACAGTGGTCTTACTTGTTACGGCTGTATAAAAACTGTAATGTGAGATTGATAGGTGTTTCTCCAGAAAGAATGCCCTTCAATTTCCCCATCCTGTCGACATAGATATTATCCTGGGAATCCTCGACGTTAGTGGCTGCTTCTGCACTTGTTGAAACGTCCATCATTCCGTTTTGTTCTGTAGTTTCCGTATTTTCACCCCCGCCTGAACTACTTCCAGCCCGAGCCTCAGGCAAACGGTCCCTCACGTTTAGTAGGAACAGCTGATTCTCGTTCTCAAACAAATCGAAGGCGATCTGATAAGCCAAAAGTGCTTCGATCTGCCAATACGAGTAAGAACTTCAGTATCAACGTTACCGGAAGCATTATTACCTTGTCTCCTTTGATAAGCTTGTCAAGGATATTAGCGACAGTTTGAGGATCATTTAGAAACATTAGGCACTGGCAGACTGTGAGATAGTCCGGAGAATGGAGCCCCTGATGCTGGTTTACAATTAAACGGAGAACCTAGTCAAAGAAAAGGAAGAAAAGATAGAAAAGGTTAGAGCTGAGTATGACAACACGGCTCGTTCACCTCTTGCCGAAACTCTCGCTTGTCAACATGAGTCCGAGCCAGCCGAAAGCAGTATGCAAGCATTCCTGGCACATTCTCACTCTTCCGGATGGCCTCCTGGAGTTTGTCAAGCCTTTGCGAGTCCAATGCCATGCCTATTGCCTGCTGATACTTTCTGTCCTGCATGCACCTAAGACGACACACGGTAAAAAAAATGACCAAAGACTCGCAGCAATGCCAGCTCACTTGTCAAGCATCCTTTCCACGATTGCAACAAGGCGAGGATCAATGGCGGTTGCCCCTTCCCCTTCTCGTGTTTTTCGAAGAGCGATATATTGATCCAGGCATTTGGCTAAGAACAAAAGGATCAAACTCCATTCGCAGAAGAACGAGAAATAAAATTGCCATACCCACGAGTGTTCTGACATAGTCGGAGTCTTCCAGAACATCGAACAGAGAGTTCGCACCGAGAGCGTAAGTTAGCGAGTCGTTGTGCTCGCCCAAATAATAGAACACCTAGAAACCGGTGTTAGAAAATTCCGCAGCTAGTAGCAAAATTCGCTCACCTTGGAAGCCACAAGCGCAGCGAGCTCTCTCTGCTCGAAATACTCATCCTCGTAGAAGCTCTCGCTGCCAGGGCACAGGATTTGTGAGAGATCTAAACGTGAGCTACAAACGCTTACATAGTGGAAATGCTTGCCGAAATCTCGTGCCAGAAGGAATCCGCCAGAGAGTTGAGATTGTGCAGCGCGTATTTCTTGAGCTGCGGCTGCTGCTCCTGCAGCATCGCCAACAGGCCGCTCGCCGTGCTGGCGACCGTCATCGTTGCTCCTCCCACCAAACCCTAGGGGACCCAAGAACCCTAAAAACACAATTTACTGCTAAATGTCCTTCCTCCGGGCCGACGATGCGGAGTGGATGCGCGAGCTGCCCGCGATCCCAAAGGCGCCGGCGGCCGCCACGACTCGATGCTTCGCGAGGTGAGGTCCCACATTTCTCTGGATCGATCGGCGCATCGCGATTTCTTTTTGGATTGCGCAGGCGCGGCAAAGTGATTCGGCTGGATGACCTCGTTGTGGACAACGATAAGGAGAAGCGGCAGAAGGAGCAAAAGAAGAAGCGGCGAGATGAGAGTAGCGAGAGCTCGGATGATGACGACGATGCCGCGACCGAGAGCCAGAAGAAGCTCGCGGCGCTCATCAAGAAATGCTCCGACGAGGTATAGGAGGGAAAGAAAAATTTCGTGGCTCTCACAAGAAATTCTTCCGGCGCAGCTAGGAGATGAATCCAGCATGAGAGATGCTCCAAAGTGGGGAGAGCAAGTTTTTGGAGCTCAGGTAATCTCACAAAGTTCTCTCTTTCTTTGTTCGTCTGTGCTAACTTTTTCTCTACGCAGGATCTTCCAGTGAGTCGTCTCGAGCTGGAGTCTATCCAATGGCTATCACTGGCCTCAAGGACTTCGCGTAGGGACCAAGCTAGCGAGGACGACGGTATATTTTTCCCAAGTGTAAGCTAGTCATTCTATCGATATTCTTGCGTCCAGGGGAAGAGTTTGTGCTGGATCTCCTTACCGGACAGTGGATGTTGCCGCTCTTTCTTCACGGAAAGAGCGGCAACATCTCTTCTGCTCTTCTGCCATACATCTTTGACAAAAGTAAGCTTTTGTTTTGGCCAGTTTCTCTCGCTGACGCCTTGAACAGTGGCGTACTCTTCGAATACGCGCATCCAGCAAGCAGCCTGCTCACTGCTTTGCGAATACTTTCGTAAGCACGTAAGTATCTGTTGTCTTGTGTTTTTCTCTTTGAAACTATTATTTCTTTCTCCAGGGCGGTGAACTAGACTGGCACCCAGATTTTGTTCGGGTTCTTCGTTGTTATGGCTATCAAGACGCTACTCCTCAGGCTTCAGGTCTGATCCTGCCCCTTTGATAATAAATTAAAGAAAGCGATTTTCAGATCCCGCGGGAGCAATTGGACCACCTACAAATTTTTCATATGTTCTAGAGTTCTTGGCGGTTTTGTCTCGATCAAGGTGAAATCTCTTGTCCTTGATCCAGCTCCCGTCTTACTGACGCGTTTTGATTCATCAGTTTCTTGCAGAAGTCGGAACCTGAGAATTATATTTTCATCTTGGCACGGTGTTTGCTGGATAGGAAGCTCCTTCCTTTTTTCTCCTCGATCCAAGACTGCATCGCGCTTCTTGTCAACTACTTAACCGAGGATGAGTGGACGTTTTGCCTACCGAGGCTCGCACACTCGCTTGCAAGGTCTGGAAAAAATTATATCCATCTCTCTAAAGTTCTAACACTTGCGAGTTTGGACGATCCAGAGTTAGCAAAGAGCTTGTTAACGTCCTCCACGTAACCAGAAAGCTACGGGGTGCTCGCAAACGGATACAGCAGCTTCGAAGGGAAATATCCTTCGAGCTCTTGTCAATGACAAACAATGAGGTATTCATCCTGCAAATTAAACAAGAGAATACAAGAAAACTGACAGCTTTCGCGTTCTCCAGCTTGAAAGGCAGCCAAAACAGGTGATCTTCGCACTGGAAGGCTACGATCTAAAAGACAGTGTGGATTTCGTCCAGCTCTATTACCATATGGAGTTGGTTGATATGTGGCTGAGGTATGATCCATCATTTAAGTCCGACGAGGAAGCCTTTAGCACTTGGATGTCTCTTTTGAGAGGCTTTTCCTTGCGGATCTTTTGTGGAGACTATCGAACTTTCGCCAACAAGGTTCTAGCTCTTGGGCATTTCTCTACATATTCCTCTTCGTTCTTTGTTTTTTTCTTTTTTTTTTTTCTTTTCCTGCGCAGGTCCGAAATCGAGCAGCATTCCTCGTTTCAATCTATTCGGAGAAATCAAGTTCTACTTCGTGATTTAAATCGGTGATCTCCACTAGAGAAGAATTCATTTTTGTGGAGCTATCACGCGGAGAAGTAAATCTCCACGTTTTTGTGAATGCTTCAAAATTTGAAGAAACTCCTTGAGTGTATCCTCTCTTTTTTTTTTCTCTAAATTGGATTTTCCTTATTATTCGTCGGAAAAAAAAAACAAGAAAAAAAAAACGCACAAAAGATCTGCAAGGAGAAAACTCTGAAAAGAGGCATCCAAGTGTTAAAGGCTTCCTCATCGGACTCAAACAATATCAGCTAAGCTATCATAAAAATGTGGTGTTCCCGTTAGGGCAGCCGATAGCAGCTCTTTTCTTCACGGTCTTCGTGAGCAGCCATGGTCCCCGAGCCCACTCATAGCAGAGGCGAGGACGGCGAGAAGCTCGAGGAGGCATGGCGTATCGCCATGGATTTGTTCCTCGAGTGGGACGAGGAGCTCCCACTCGCCTGGAAAGCTTTTCTCCAGTACCCCAAGCCGCTGCCACAGCTCCCCCAGCAAGTCATCGACACATACGCCGCCGTCTCTCCGCCGCCACTCCCCGAGCTCTGCCCGCTAGACTTCGAGATGCGCTGCTGGGGTTCCTTCAAGCACGACATGGATCGCTGGCTGGACGAGCAGCCGGACGACGAGCAACGCCTGGCTCCGCCACCTTGTCCCGCATCAAACTTCCGCGACGTCCTGAGCTCCATGCTCCATATGTCTGGACAGATCGAAGGCGTCTGCTGTGCGGCTCTGGGATGCTACCCCGACTTCATGAACCGAGATCGTTCTTGTGATTCTGGGCGTAGGATGCGGCTGGTTGGCGTCATGGCCATGGAGATCGATGCCACGACACTGGAGATTCAAGTTGCGCGGCTATACTCCTATATGCTGCTCACCGATTGCTACTTCGGCCTTGTCTCGTGCTACACCCAGACCTTTGCTTGCAAGAGGCTGCCGGGGTTGGAGAGATGCGTGTGGGTCTCGCCTCCAGTTCTCTCCGACAGTGGCGACGCGCTCAAGGCCTGTGCTTTTGTGGCTTCGCTGAGCCAGAGCTTTTCCCTTGTAGAAACTCCAACTCCCCCAGAGCTCCGAGTTCCAACGTACTGCAACTTCTTCTTTGCGAGCAGCACGGGGCCTTGCCCGTTTGATCGCGCGCCGATCCTTGCAAGGCTCCGGGTGCTGGGGAAGGAGCTGAGTGTCGCAGACATGGACAAGCTCGTCGAGGGGCTTGCATGGCTGGATGAGCTCGTGGGGCGAATGGAGCAGCCTTCGTTCTTTTCGCACACTCGGGGAAGGATCACAGCTATGGGGGTGTACAAGGGCGAGTTCGTGCTTGTCAAGTTCCGGGATCTCTCAAACAGCCGGTTCAAGGACACGGACTCGTACCTCCGGAAGTTCTTGCGCGAGGTGGACGTGTATATGAGGCTGCGCGAGTTGCAAGGCGAAGTGATCCCCGAGCTGTTCCAGTATGGATTCATCAGGGGGGCGATGGTGTGCTTCGTGATCATCACGGATCACGGCCGCGCCGTGAGAATGAAACCATGGGAGCAGCGTTTCTACAATGGTCCCGAGCTGTGGGAGCACAAGAGTAGCATGGTGAAGTCGTGCTTGCGCAGGGTTCATGCTCTCGGGGTGCACTTTGGGGGAGAGCCCCTGTGGCTGAAAAGTGATCGAGGGTGTGAGTATATACTCATGACTATGTCGCATGGTTTTGTGGATGGTGATCGTGCCGGCATGGGCAAGGATATTGAGTTCGTTAACAAGGTATACCCTCAGCCATGAGAGTACTCGGACTGTTTTGCGAGATTTATAAGCTCAAAAACTATGTGCCGCCTAGTCAAATAAAGTCAATGCAAATTAAAAAAATTCCACCTTTTGGAGTCTTTATTCTTCTTTTGGAGTCGGATATTGATAATAATTATTTCAAATTTAAATATTCACAAAGAGCGCACTTAGTGATACTTCATCGGCCACGAAAGGCATTGTTGCAGCAAGCTCCATGGCCTCCTCCGCGCGCCCTGCCCTCGCAAGCACGTCCACGTATCGATTGAAGTGCTCGAGGCTGGCCTGGATGCCTCCATCCCCTTGCATCGACGCCACACACTGCGCCGCCTCCTCCACAAGCCCGGCGTGGGCAAATGCCGCCAACGCACTCAGGTAGCTTGCGCCGCTAGGGCTCCATCCCTCGAGCTCCATCGCTCGCAAAGCGCTCACGCAAAGATCCACCCGGCCATTGCGCGCATATCCCTCGATCATCGCGTTCCAGGAGGTGAGATCGTGGCGAAACTGGAGCCCAGAAAAGAGCCGCTCCGCCGTGTCCAAATGCCCATTCGCGGCGCTTGCGACGATCATTGCGTTTGCGGCAGCCGCGTCTCTGTGAGGCATTCGAGAGAAGAAATTTACGGCCTCTTCCCACGACTTACTCTCGCCAAATCCCGCGATCATGGTGTTCCACGACACAATGTTTCTATCTCTCATCTCATCAAACAAATCTTTGGCTATGTGCATATCTCCCCTCTCGGCTAATGCCGCTAGCATCATGTTCCAACACACTGTCGGCGCACGCTCCTTGATCCCCTCGAATATCCTCTCCGCGCCGTACGCGTCGCCATGGCGGAGATACGCTTGGACCAGCGTGGTCTCGACCACCGCGTCCCGTACGGGCATCTGATTGAACAACCACTGGGCTTGCGCCACGCGTCCAGCTAGAGCATATGCCGAGAGCATCGCCTTCCACGCCACGGTATTCCACTGGGGCATCCGCGCGTGTGTGTTCTTGGCGGATTCCAGGCGGCCGTGGTGAGCGAATGAGGAGATCATCGCCGCCCAGCAAACAAGATCCCGGCACGGCAATGCATCGAAGAGCTCCTTGGCGCGGATCAATCGGCCGGACAGCGCAGTTGCGACGATGACACAGGTCCAGGGCGCGGCTCCCTGCTGCGGCATTCGCTCGATAATCCCCTCCGCTCGATCGATCCTGCCACCGCCCGCCAGCGCCGCGACGATCGCGTTCCAGGCGGCGGGATTTCGCTGCGGCATCGCGTCGAAAATCTCCATGGCCAGCTCCGGCATCGCGCTCTTTGCGACAAGATCCATCATCGCCGTCCAGGAAACAGTGCTGCGCTCCGGCATCGAGTGGAAGACGGCGCTGGCGCGGTCGAAATCCCCGATGCCGGCATAGGCCTGGAAGATCGAGTTCCAGGACACGAGATCCTGCGCGGGCATCCTCAAGAACATATCAGCGGCCGTTTCCACCTGGCCAGCGCTGGCGAATGCCGTGATCATCGTCGTCCAGGAGACGATATTTCGCCCTGGCATCGATAGAAACGCTTGGTCCGCGTGATCGACGCAGCCGCCGTGCGAGAAGGCGAGGATCAGAGCGTTCCAAGACGCGACGCTCGGGTCGGGGATCTGATCAAACAGCCACATTGCATTCTCCATTTGCCCTTGCCGGGCAAATGCCGCAAGGAGGGAGTTCCAAGACACCAAGTCTCTCTGGGGCATCTTGTCCAGAAACTCTCTGGCGGTGTCTAAGAAACCTAGCTGCGCGTATGCCGTGATCATAGAGTTCCAGGATACCTCGTTACGGAGCTCCATGGAATCAAAGAGGGATTTGGACCACTGGAGATTCCCGCTTTGGGCATATGACGTTAGGAGAATATTCAACGCCTTTGTGCTGCGCCTATGTCCCGGCATTGGATTTTCATTGAGTGGAAGAGCGTTGAGGATTTCCTTCTCCGTGTGATAGCTCCGCAAAAATCAAACAATGAATTCTTCTCTAGCAAAAACCTTAAATGAGTTTGATTTTTCCGAATAGATTGAAAGGAGGAATGCTGCTCGATTTCGGACCTGCCCAGGAGAGTAGAAAAGAAAAACGACGAGAAGCATGTAAGACGCAGAGAAATGCAAAAACCTTGTTGGCGAAAGTTCGATAGTCTCCACAAAAGATCCCTCTCTTCCTCATCGATCATATCTCAAAACCAGCTCTATACCTGGACGAAATCCACAGTCTTTAAGATCGCAGCCTTCCAGTGTGAAGATCATCAGTGTTAAAACTCTAGAAAGCTGGAAATAATTTTTCAGAGCTGGAAATAAGTTTTCCAGACCTTGCGAGCGAGTGTGCGAGCACTCATCCTCGGTTAAGTAGTTGACAAGAAGCACGATGCAGTAAATAGAGGAGAAAAAAGGAAAGATGAAACTATTCTCAGGTTCCGACTTCTGCAAGAAACTGATGAATCAAAACTAATAAAGAGAAATACTAGTTTAGTTCGGAAAAAATACGCCATCGTCCTCTACATAGTTGCAGCTAGACGTGCAAACGTTCCAACTTGTCAACGTTTAAGTGCTGTTTAAAACGTTTTTTTCAGGACAATCCAATGTTTACATGTTAAAGCCTAAAATGATTAAGAAAACAATAATATTTACTAAAGACACTTTAATCTGATATTAAGTTTATAAAACCTAACCAAATAACATACTAAAACAAATGAAAGAAGAAGCCATTTTAGTTGTCTTTCGATTTTGAATCATCTTCCATTCCTTTATCGATGCTAAACTCCTCAGTAGCCTGATTTGGTTCCTCAAAAGCTTCTTGTAGATCCAAAATCCTCTTCCAAGGAGGCTCCAACTCTAGCTTGTCTATATCAATCTCCAACATCCTCAAACCTTCACTCTCCAACTTCTGAGCAACCTGGAAGTTTGTGTGAATGTAAACCAACTTCTCAGCATTTTTGGGAAGCAAGTGGGACCTGTGCTTTGTTTGTATCAAGCTTCATGAGCTCTAATTCCTCTCACATGGAGAAGCGCAAACAACCTAGCTTAAAATCTGGAGAGCCATGCGACGTAGATTAAGCATCTCTAAACCAAAAGAACTCCACCAGGTTATTGGAAACTTTCTGGTCTCCCAATCCTTGGCAGTAGGTAACCTCATTTGCTGTCCAAGCTGTTGCCAAAACCTCTCAAACTATGCCTGCAATCTCAGCTGCAAGTCTAGATCACCTCTACTATAAACATGCATGTACTCCAGCCAGTTCCAGCGTGCCTCATTGTCTAGCTTGTTGTTCTCCGGGTTATCCCCCAAAAACAGAGGATGAAGAGCAAAAGCAGCTCCATGAATGACGTTGTGCATTTGATA